CTCTCTCTCCCCCTCCCCCTCTCTCTCCCCCTCCCCCTCTCTCTCCTCCCCTCCCCCCTTTTCTTTTTGGCTCTGGCCTGGCACCTGCCCTTATTAGTGTGAACCACGTTGCCTCGCGCTCACAGTCCAAGATCATCAGAGCCAGCCACAGCTGTCTGCTTCTCCGCGGGAACCTGCCCCTGCCAACAACCCAGACCCAAGAGCTGTTTTCACAGTTTAGGCAGCTCATGAGTGTTGCTGCTTGAAAAATCTCTGCGACGGCTGTGGTCCAGAGCTCAGGACCTATCCTTGGATGTTTTCAGTCATTGGCGATATCCAGTCAGGGTTAGTAACTCTTTAAACTTTGTGCAAATTACAACGTGACATCTTCTCTCAAGGGAACAGTGGCCGGCACACCTGAAACCTTGGTCAAACCTTTGAGCACCTGCCAATCTCAATGACAAAAATGAAGTAGCAAAACCTACCTTCTGATCCTGAGACGATTCGATGATGCAGTCATGGAGTGTGGACAGTGGAAGACCCACTCGTGTTTTCTGTTGGGGAGTAAACCCAAAGAAAACTGTACTGTTTCTAAAGCAATAAGACATAGATTGGTTTCTCAATGCCATTTTGTTGCTAGTTAGTTTTTGTTTGTTTGTTTGTTTTTTTTTCCAGAGAGAATCCACTAATTACATTTATGCCTATGTGTGATTGGGCATTCGTATGGTTTATCTTCCTACTTTTGCGAATCTGTGTGAGTCCTTGGTTTTAATTCTTTAGATAAGAGGCTGAGGACCTGGGAAACCCTGTCCTTCTTAATGATAGAATTACAAGTGTATGCGGCTCAAAACACACTATTAAAAAATGTTTTCTTTCTCTTCTTGGACTTTGAATGTTCTTGGTGAAAAGACTCTTGATTTGACTTTGGGAAATTACTACTCTACTGGCCTTTTAATCTTTGGCATCAGTTGTGTGCTTCCGTGAATATGTGTATGTCCTGGGAAAGATGACTTGTCTCAGGCCTTATACACATACACTCCTCCCATACACACCAGCTGCTAGAACACAGTGAGACTGCTCTTCACATTGCCCTATCTATTCCACCGTACTTTTTGGATGTTTCTGTTCTCAGAATACTCAAGACCTTGTCTCCACCCTGGTAAATGCTGCTCTTTCTTGTTTCTAGAAGGGAAAAGGGGGTATTTCAGCAACAGCTTTAAATCCATACATAATATATTCACAAGTGACTCATCTAAGTCTATAACGAAGGGGATAAATGTTCAACAGGGAAATCTTTATTATGTGAATATATTTACAGAAAATTACACACACACACACACACACACACACACACACACACACACACACACGCTCCTGTCCAGACCCAAGTAGAGTTGAATGAAGACATCCTAATCGCTGACTGTAACTGAATCTCAAGGCACCGCTTTTGCATGATCACTTTCTGGGTTATCTACGTTGGCAAAGGTCAGGAAGACTTGCTCCAGGGTGATCTGACTGATGGAATAGTCCTCTAAATTGTATTGCTCTTTTGCTTTCTCCAGTATGCCAAACACCTTCAGCAGCAACAGAAGACATGCAGTCACCATTGACAAGTTCCCTCCAGACCCCGACCCAGAGAAGTCCCTCCTTCTGCTCCCCAATGTCCCCTGGGCTCACACTAGAGGACAGAAGGACAAAAGGGTGAGAGGGGAAAGCTGGAGGAATAGGTAATTGAGAAACCAAGAGCAGGCAGGTCTCTGTCCAGTTCTCTCGATGGACATAGACTAATCATGGGATTTAGGGGCAGAAATAAAAGGCAACTAAATTCTAAAGGTATTTAAAAAGCAACATAAATGTGCTCCTGCCTCACAATGCTAGGCACGATTCCACTGCCTGGACCCCAGCCTCCCCATCGTTAGTCCTTGCCTATGTTAGTGTATACAAGTGCATGGTTTCAGGCATCACCTTTCCCCAGCTGTTGTCCTTGCTGGGAATGTAGTAATTAAGGATCCCTTGATTCTCTTGCTTCAGCTTACTGCCTAGGGCAGAAAAATAGGACAGGTGAGTGATCTTACCGATTTCATTTAAAACTGCCAAAATAATGTTACATCTACATAGTAGTATATACAGTGAAGAAACTAAATGGGTCTAGACATAAGTGGATAGGATCAAGTGTTCAAAAGCATGAGCCTTATGGGGGACATTCTCATCCAAGCCACTAGAGCCAGCATGGCTACTGTTTTCAGAAGATTTATTACTGAGGAAACCGTATTGTCGTGGAATACAAGGCAGTTATTGAGCATACATTGTTCAACTCACAAGTCTAATGTTAGATACTGGTCCTCCTAAAATTAACATGAGTCTTTACTGCTAAACCAGTGCTGAGAATGTGAGCTGGGGCAATGCACTCCTGGTCACGCATCTTCCTATGGTGGCTTTGGAGGGGAGCAGGGATGACACTGCCTCAATATTCTTGTGATTATACAATCTTGCTGCCACGTAAAAGGAAATACCCAGACAGCATACAGGCCACCAAAGTCTGTTAGTTTGCTTTACAAGTGTGTAAGAATTCACTAGTACAATCAGAAGGAAAATAGTAGTATCCTGTATGAATTTTGAACACATACTTGTTTATATCTGAATTGTGTATTTGTAGAATAAATTGACTTGGATTTAAAAATTGAAAGTAACTCATATGTAGTTATTATGATATGGGATTTTCTTTAATATCAGCCCTAAAGCATGCATTGCCACACAAATTTTTTTATTATATACTGTTTCAAACACAGAACTTAATTATTTGAAATCAACACACAGGAAGCCTCCCATTCAGGTCAAATAATAACAAAGTAGCTGATCCCACATGACACCTTCTAGCCTCTGCCCCAATGAAATGTCTCCAGTGCCTTCAGTGTAATTGAGTAAAATAACCCATTATACGTTATTTTCTTTTGTTCTTATCTTAATGGTTTGATTTTGCCCATTTTTAGTCCTCATACTTGGTAGATAAGTCATCTACCCCCGATCTATATTTTAAGCCCAGTTGGGTAAAGTTTCTAATCCTTCTTTCATTGAACACTGTTTAAAAGGTTTACTCATGGCATTTCATATTGTCATAGTTAACTCATTATCTTTTCTGCATCAGTCAGTATATTAATATCCTATACTTTACTTTCATTTGACTGCTGAGAGTTGTTTCTTGTATCAAAATGTTCTGATTATCTTTTTTTTTTTAAATCTAACCCTTAGCACAGGTGATTTAAATGTTTACAGTCTGTTTCTAGACATGGAATTTCTGGGTCACTGCCCTTTTCAGTATTTTTTTAAGTCAAATTTCAGCTTACATTTGAAGATACAGAGAACTGCAGAGATGCTGCCCCCACCATTCACAATGAGACTCTTTCTTGAATATGTGTGTTCTGTGATAGGCAAACACTGAACAAATGACTAAGGCAGCTGTTGTTTTAAAACATTGTCAAAGATTTGTGTAACATGGAGAGCCTGCTTGTTAGGGTTTCTGTCCTGCCCAGTACCCCACAGCTGGCAAGCCCCAAAGAAAATCACACAGAGAGTCTGCATTACTTATAATTGTAATAAAAATAAGATTGGCCCATTAGCTCAGGCTTCTTATTAGCTCTTGTAGCTTTTATTAACCCATTGTTCTTATATATGTTAGCCACACGGCTCGGTACCTTTCTCATCAGGGCAGCTCACATGCTGCTTCTTCGGTGGTCTGGGCTGGAATGGGGGAAGAGCTTCCTTCTTCCCAGAATACTCCTGTTCTCATCACCCCGCCTCTACTTCCTGTCTGGTTGACCTGCTTATACTTCCTGCCTGGCCAATCAGCATTTATTTAAAACATGATTGACAAAATAAAGACAATTCTCCCGCACCAGATTGGAGGATGGCTCAGTTGGTAAAGTGCTTGCTGCATAAGCATGGGGACCTAGGCTTGAATCCCAGAACCCACATAAAAGCCTAGGTGTGGTGGCATTCACTTCTAATTCCCTGTGTTGGAAAGGTAAAGACAGGTGACTCTCTGGGGCTCACTGGCCAGCCAGCCTAGCCTACTTGGTCTTGGTGAGGTCTAGACCAGTAAGAGGTTATGACATGGCAATAACACAACACAACACCGTGTCTGGGGAGATGGCTCAGTCAAGAAAGTGAGTGCTGCCCACATATGGGGACCTGAGTTCATATCCCCAGCACCCACATAAAGCTGGGAGTGCTAGCCTATGCTGTCACCCCAGTGCTAGCAGGGCGGAGACTGGTTATTCCTAGAGTCAGTTTTGTCAAATTGGGAAGCTTCATACTGAGTGAAAAGCACTGCCTCAAAAGACAGAGAGCAACTGAGGACCTCACTGACCTGAGGACTACACCGACCTCTGTCCTCCACAATCATATGTATGTACACATACACTTGCATGTATAGGAGCACATACCCATATGACAAAGACATACACTACACACCTATGTGTGTTGTGTGCAGGTAATATGGGTGGCTCTAATGGAAGGATATCTGAGGTTTTCTTCTGGATTCCTCATGCATACACACATGTGAACATACAGTGAGACACACACACGTGCACACATGCTTGAGCTATTCATTCTGCTTTGCTTCTGCTTGTCACTGACTTACTTGACTGTTGGTCTACAGAGTGAGCTAGACTAAAGGGCAGTGATTTCATTAGAATATGCCTTGGTGCTTGACTTTAATGTTCGGTCTGTCTTCTTTGGCTTCAGGAACACGACTGACAAGTTTCAGTACTGCTTCTCTTCTGCTGACCTCACTCCCTTTGTGACCGGCTTCCCTGGCCTGTCCCTGCCTTACTTCACTTTCCCACAGATCCATATATACATTAGTTTGTTTTTCCCTGTTGTTCTCTTCTGCAATATCCATTTCCTTTGCACACTGCATGTTGTTTATTCTTTAGTTAAGTATTTACGAAACTTTGCTGAGAAAATCCTCTCCAAGGCTGTTGGCTGTCCTGTAGATCCTTCTATTGTTTCGTCAGCCAGTTTCTTTGTTCTTCTATCATGGTGTCTATCCCACTTGTGGCCCGTTGTGAGGTAATGTCTTTCTGTTTTATAGCACTGTGCTTCCATCATGCCAGGGTTTCTGCTTTTCACTGGCAGCGCTTTCTGCGGAGATCAACCACAACCTTGCCAATTCCTTGTGCCTGTGGGAGATGAATTGCCTTGTAGTTTAGGAATGTAGGAAGTGGAGTAGGGCAAAAATGCTTGTAGCTTCACAGCTGAGAGTCTTCTAGGATCTATTAACAGACAGCAGCAAGGGAGCTCTGCCACATGCTCTTCCGAGTCTCCTTCTAATCCAAGCCTGGCTAAGGGGCACTTTCCTCCAGAGCAGAGCTGTGCTTTCGTCTGCTTGGAAGAAGATGCTGTGGAGGACTGACTTTTATCCACTTTGAAGGCCCTGCCTTTATGTGGCCCTCTCAGCATGCGCTCCCCAGAGACAGCCCAAGGCATCACCTCAGATCCCAGCAAAGGCATGGCCGTTAGCTTCTAGGATTTATTTTTCTGTTTTATTTCTTTTATATTTTTCTTTCCTGTTATTAATTTTTTATCTTTGAGGCTAAGAGGGAAAATACCTTATTTTTGAGCCTATTATTTCATTAAAACATATTGTTACAATTTTATAAGATTCTAGATTAATTTTACATACAATGCTTTTCAGAGATAAAATCTATATTGAAGACAAGAATCATCCTATTTCTGACATTTTTTAATAAAACAAATATATGGTTATTTAAATTTCCTTGAGTTTATATAAAACTTATATGCTAAAAGCATCTGCTTTCTTGTGGTAACCCCACAAGAAATACTTACTCAACTGCCCTCTGGCTAAGGTTTATTTCTTATTTTTAAGGATTAATATTTACTCATTCTTTACTCAAGAACCATATAGGGAAGGGCTTACACTTAAGGCCTTTCTCAAGCCCACATTCCCTTAAGATATGTGTGTCCACATCCTTAGTGGGGGTTAGTATTTGGTGTTCCTCTGTCAAGTGCCACAAATAAACAGAAGAGCTAACAGCAAATCAACTTCTTGGACCACAGGCACCACAGAAAATAAAACTTTGTTGAGTATTCAAAAATGTTTGCGAATGGGCACATAAGCAGATCTTTAACTCTCAGGACATACGCACCTGCATTCCCATACCATGTCATTATCACCACGGCCCAGGACCACACGCCTACTCCCACACGCCTACTCCCTGCTGGCCTTCACTTACTGTGTGATCAAAGCTTCTCCTGTGTTATTTCCCATGGCTTTAGACTGTAAAATTCCAAATCCTCAGCTTAACCCTAGAGGGACTTCTGTTGTTGTTTTGCTCAGCCCAATAAAGTGGAAATGAAGATAAAGCCCACAGGTGCGAGAACCCTTGATGGGAGAGTGCTTTTAAGTTCGGGAGAGTGAGGTGAGAAACGGAAGCAAAAGTAGCATCTACAGTCTGCACTGTATCATGTGGCTAGCAGACCGGTTCTTGTTGGATTTAACGTACCAAACGGAATTACTTTTTAAAAAATTTTTCTTATCAAATGAATACTTTATTAGAGTCATAACATTTATAAAATTTCTTGTCACCACTGAGTTATCAGATTTTTAAGAGCAACCAACATCAGAACAGAAATTCTTGAAAGAAACCATACTCATTTGCATTTCAAAACCATATCCTGGCTGAGACAGCAAATGATCAGAGTTACAATTTTTTGTTTGTTTGTCTGTGTTTATTTTTTGAGCAGGGTTTCTCTATGCAGTAACCTTAGCTGTCCTGGATCTAACTCTTGTAGACCAGGCTGGCCTCAAACTCACAGAGGCCTGCCTCCACCTCCTAAGTGCTAAGATGAAAGGCGTGCACCACCACCACCGGCAAGAGTTAGAATTCTTAATACAAGACAAAAATACTTAATATTTTTCACAGATTATGTTATAGCCTGAATTTTTTATCTCTTTCAAAATGCACGCACTGAAGTCCCACCTCCCCAGGAGACTTTGGAGATAGGGTCTTTATGGAGGTAACTGAGACTAAATAAGGTTTTTTAAGTGTGACATTGCTGATCCACTGGGACTGGTATCCTTTGGGGAAAAAAGAAAAAAGAAAAAACAAAACTAGACACCAGGGCACCAGGGAAACGCAAAAATACAGAAAACAGCCTATGAGAATAAAGTGGGAAGATGCTGTCTGCAGTGTAAGCCAGAGAGGTCTCAGAAGACACCAGGGCTGTTGGAGACTTGATCTTGGACTTTCAACCCCCAAAGCTGTGAGAAAATAAATGCTGGTTAAGCCACCCACTCTGTGGTATTGTGATATGGGAGTCAGTCCGAGTAGACTGATATGGATCATATTTTAAAAAATTGGAATTGCTTAAAAACAAAACCCAAACCTTCAAACTTTAAATTCTATGACTTCGGGCAGGAGAGATGGCTCAGCGGTTAGGAGCATTGCGTGCTCTTCCAGAGGACCTGAGTTCAATTCCCAGCAACCACATGGTGGCTCACAACCATCTGTAATGAGGTCTGGTGCCCTCTTCTGGCCTGCAGGCATACACACACAGACAGAATATTGTATACATAATAAATAAATAAATATTTTTAAAAAATTCTATGATTTCTCGTTCACACACGAGACTGACAAATTCTTACCATTTTTTGAACATTTGCATAAACAGAAACAGCTACAGGCACAAACCTCTTCCAAAGAACTCATTATTAGGTGTCAGACATATAAAAGCCTCACAGGAAACCATGGTTACAGATGGTCAGACAACAGACATGACTTACCCGGCAAAGTTAACCTGACCGGACTTACCTGGGAAAACCTGGGCAATAAATCCTTCAAAGTCCTTTATTACATCGTCACCAGTGTCCGTTTTGAACTTGACATTCATGATGTAAACATTGCCAAACTTGTTCTTGAGGTGCTGAGGGCTCCCCAGGCACACGAACTTTCCCTGCACCATGATGGCCAGCCTGGTGCAGAGAGCTTCACACTCCTCCATACTAGAAAAGCAAGATGCCAGAGGACATAAGGCAGAACTATGTTATTTGAATGTTAGAGGACATCCAAATACCCAATGTTTTGTGAGCCTCTTGAAGAGATAATTCTCGCTTGCCAGTTATTAGGGCCATAGGGAATGGAGGTATTTTAAAATTCAGAACAGGAGAGGACCAGCTCTTCAAATGGAACAGCTCATAAATATCTTCCCCTTACATATTCAAACATTTCTTAGGATTAAATGTTAAGAAGCTCACATACTCAGGCAAGTTTTCTATACACTATTCCTGGCCCTGGGCATTTCCTCCTCATAGCCATAGAATTCTGCCCTCGCCCATTGTGAGCCACACCTGTGAGAGGTTATGATGATGACCTTGCCACTCTCTCGCGTCCTTATCACTGTGTTCCAGAGCCTGCGCCGGGCTAACGGGTCCATGCCAGTGGACGGCTCATCTAGGAAGACGACGGACGATTTCCCCATTATGGCGACAGCGGTGCTCAGCCTGCGTTTGCTTCCTCCGCTTCAGAGTGAGGAAGGGAGGGAAAGAGAAGTGGAAGCACAGATAGCTTTATAGTACAGTAATTTAGTAGGTAACATATCAAATTAGTACTCGGACTTTAGTTACAGGGGAAAAAAAAAACGCTGATTACACGTGACTGTACTGGGACATGAGACCAAACCCAACTGTACACAGAAATTTGCTTTCATCTGCAATGCAGAATGATGACTTTTGCTTATTCCATTTATTTTTAGCTATATTATCAGTTAAATTCAGATTCTTATTCTTGTAGTTCCTTGGGATTTTCTAACATATGAGCTACATGGCAGTCAGCCAGAGCAATACAGAGAACCTCATCTTTGTCCTTTATGAGGAGACAAAGAGCCACAGCAAGGCAGAAAGAGAAACACTCATTTGTCTAGTTCACTGACTAGAATTCAAATTGGACCAGGCCTGAGAATTTATCATTAAAAAAAAAAAGAAAAAGGTGTGATGCTCCTAGGGTCTGCTCCATTGCAGAAGAACACCTGAGTACTCCAGCCCTTGCCTGCCTGTTACGGAGCTTGTTTAGACAGGCGGCAATCCATCCCACAGCTGTCAGATCCCAAACATGGGAGATGTCAGAATACGGCCACAACGGAAACAGCAGCACGTGATCTCACCTCAAGGTGTAAATAAACTTCTCGGCTTGTGGTTGCAGGTACAGCATTTCCAACAAGTTGTCCACATAGGGTCTAATACTGTTCTCTGGAAGCCCCCACACCCTGGCATACATTGTCAAGATCTCCCGAGGGGTCATGAAATCCAGCAAAGCATCAAACTGTGGACAATAGCCAATTTTTGACCTTACCTAAAATAAGAGAACATTGATAGAGATAAGACAACTACCTCACTGAGCATCACACAGTGAGTATGAATACCACTAAAAAAACCCCTCAAAGTTTTCTGACCTGTGGCCTGGGAACAAATTGATGCCCTTCTAGCAAAGAACTTTGTATCTTCCAGTGGTCACAGCATCACCATGGCCGGGGTGACTGCATGTATTAGAACTCTAAGGCATGAAGAACTTCATGCATGAAGGTGCATGTGCCCAGGATAACTGTTATAAGCTGACATTAGAGTTAGAGCAATACAAGGATATTTGCCTGGAGGAGGCCGGACTACCATTTCTTAACCTATAGTCTTGGTAAGGTTAATCAGTAGTGTGAAGTCTATGCTCAACAAGTAAATAAATACTTTTGAAATTTGGAACATGGTTCATTAACACACCTTTATTATTCTGTCCCAAGGAACACCAGGTTATCGAGACTGAAGCCTGCGGTGGAAGTGGGAGGATAATTAGCAATGTCTAGGCTAGGTTTAAGAAGACCCCGAATTCTTCTGTGCGATGATAAATGGATGAGAGGAGTGTTGTGGGATATTTTGATCCCACTCTGATACTCCTGAGACTGACAAGAAAACAAACCTTTAATCAGAGGGCAGAGATAGCTACTAGCTGACCAGAATTAGCCATAGAGGTTTTGGAGGATCCAGGACATATAGAGAGACATAGGAAGTACTAGGGAGGGACTTAGAAAGATGACTATAGAGACTGAGGTTAACATAGGTTAACTACAGCTGACGAAGCATTATGAATGAGAAGACGCCTCTGCAGGTGTAGCTATTTCTATACCTGCTTCAACAGGTATGGTATCCAATACAACAACATACTTTACAAGTTTCTTGGTTCACATGAATTTTTCAATAAATGTCAAGTACAGCTGCATAATAATGAAAGGGAGGCAGGAAATAACCTCAGCTGAGTTGTTTTGTAGTGAGTTATTTTGTAATTTGAGAGCTAGGTCGTATATCTAAGATAAGCATGGATTATTTCAATTATCCTATTAAGGGTGCATTCTTAGAAACACAAAAAAAATTTAACAAATCCTAAAATCAGGGACAAGGCAAGGGTGTCTATTCTCTCCAATTACATTCAAAATAATGCTTGAAGTAGTAGCTTCATCAATCAGCATGGTCTATTAGGTGCTTCTTGATTTTTCCTCTTCCTTTAGGTGGGACTAATGGCTGGAGCTTGTTGGAGTTGATCATTTCCTTCGTCCTGGTCTTTCAGACCCTGGTTAAATAACTCCACCTATGTGCAAACTTCTTAAGGACAGAACATTCTGTGTATTGGTTCCTGTCGCCTTCCTCCTGCAGGCTGTCCAAGGGATTTTTCTCTGCCAGTCACACTAAGAACCTGATTGAACCCAAGGAGATAAAATTCACAGAAGTATAGAAGTGCCAGCCAAATGACCAGCTTCCTGTTGAAGTTCTATATGTGTTAAGATTTGCTCTGCCCAAGCTACCAGCAATTCACCATTAAAGGTGCAGTTCTCCTGCCCCAATATTGGTTCCCCCAGAGTTCCTACTCTGAAGTTGTTATGTCTGGGTCTGGATGTCTATTCTGTCTATGTGCTTGCATGCATACGAGTATGGGAATTCGCACAAAGGTCAGTGGACAACTTTTACTTTATTTGAGGCTGGCTATCTTGATATTCACCACTGTATACACTCAGCTAGCTGCCATTCTCCCATCTCTGCCTTCTTGTCATAGGAATGCTGGGACTGCATAGGAGCATCCTGCTGTATCTGGCTGTTACCGGGCTCTGGGTATCCGAACTCAGAATGTTAGGTTTGCACGACAAGCACCTGAACCACAGCCATCTCTTCGGCCCTGCCCTGGAGTTTTGTGCCAGATTAAGTAGTGATTCATATTTCACTTTCTCAGGGCCTTAATTTGGGGTGTCAGCTGGTTCCCAGTAAGACAGATCTTACTGTGTAGACAAGGCTTGCCTAGGATTCTAGAGATCCACATGCTTCTGCTTCCTGAGTGCTAGCATTAAAAGCATGTACCACCATGCACATCTCGTTCAGAGTTTTGTCAAGTTTCTTCTAGGCTGGAGACTCTGAGTCTAATGGATGTCTCCACACACCAAGCACATCGTGTGGTGTGCTAGAGGGGCTGCTGGGAGGTTGCATTTCACTCAGACGACTCTGCCCTTCATACCTCCATGTGTCCCCTTACATTTTCCTTCTCTTTCTAGAAGCATCCGATGGAATGCATTGAATCATCTCAATACCTGTCACCAGTCCTCTCTGGGGGCTCCTGCCATTTGCCTCCCGTCTGCACCCCAAAGGCACCATGCTTCTCACCTTCAGACTGTACACTAGCATACCTTTCGGATATTTTCTGTGATGCTGTAGCCGTCAATGAACACATCCCCAGACGTAGCAACCTCTTCTCCAGTCAGAATTTGAAAGGTAGTAGTTTTTCCAGCTCCATTTAGTCCAAGCAATCCAAAACACTCCTCCTTTTGGATGGTGACAGAGATATTTCTCACAGCCAGAATGGGTGGCACTTTAAAATATATCTTAAAAACAAAGAAAATACAAAATACACGGAATTATGTATTCGGATGGGTCAGACACACAGTTTCAAACCTTTACAGACCACAGTACTTCAGACTGTTCATAAGAACCCTTCTTGGAGAACAGGCATAGATCCGAAAGGCCCACAGGGATTCCTTGGTGCTCATCTTGGGGAATGGAGCCATGCGCTGGCCCTGGAAAGACATTACCTTTACAAGCTCCTTAATGAGCACAGTAGAGTTCAGGGACTCTTGAGGATGCTGCAGGATAGCTTCCCTTTCATTTTGTACATCTTCATCTTCAGATTCCGCAGATAACTCTCGGGACAGTCTAGCCTGTATTGTGAAGACAAGAGTGGATGGTAGATACTGCTTGAGCATCTGCTCTAGACTGGATGAATTCATGAAGGTTAAACGAGGATTATTTCAGAATGGAGATCAGTGAAATGGATAAAATATGTCAAAAAGAAAAAAGAAAGAAAGGAAGGAAAGGTAAAATTAAAAAAAAAAACAAAATTTGGTGGTTTAGAGATATTGACAAGGCCCTAGCAAGGGTAATCAAGTAAAATATAATAAAAAAGAGTAAGTGGGGGATAAACCACAAATTTCTAATAAACGTCAAATATACAAAAATAAATTGTAAGCAAATGAGTCCTTCTCCTGGCGTCTGTGAGGATTTCCCTGACTCTGTACCCGGGTCTTGACCTGAGGAATCCATCTGCAGCTCTTTCAACAGCCACTGCTTCACTGCTTGATCTGCCCCCACCCCATGTCTTGAATTTACCCCCTTAAGTATTACGCATTCACCCAGATCTTAGTTTGGTTCCTACAGGATACAGTTTCAGTATTTTATACTTTTTAAAATCAAACCCTCATTCCCGTGCCTGCTATCTGTCTGGTCTCTGCTGTGGTGCCCATCCTGGGCCCTTTCTCTGGACTATCCATGAACTCCTCCTCTCCCCTCTCCTGCGAGGCCTACGGAAGCTGAGTTCTGTGCAGCATGCATTGTTACACTGAGCAGCAGTAGGTACTTAAGGGATAGATCGGAAATGTATTACAACCTTGGAATTGCGCATCAGGTTTTACTTCTAAGGAACAATACTTCTGGTGCTGGCCAGCTATTGCTGATTTGGCCTGATTCCCTAGTCCTGAGGCTATTTCTTCCTTCATTCTGAATAGGAAACTCCCATCAGCTTTGGACACCAAGCTGCCTCTAATGGTGTCCTCAAGGCTGAGTCTGTGTTATTGTGTCTTCCCAAACTATAAGACACAGCCTGGAAACTCCTGCCTTCTACGCCTCACTTAATTCCAATATTCATTTCTATAAGCAGTAAAAGAACCAGTGGGGGACATGTTACATAAGCAAATTTTCAAAGTATACCCTAAATTTACTGCATCAGAAACACAGGAGGCATGGTGTAGACCAGCAATTTATAGTGTAACAAGGCCTGTGCATACGTCTGAGGCATGCTGTGGATGAGAATACCTATCACATGGCCTTACGCTCGAATGTGTGTTCTATGGATTGGCAACTTGGGAACTTTTACAAAAGCCAGAGTCAAATTGGGACAAATGGGCTGATGGGGGAGGAAATGTGCAGCTAACATACAAATTATTCAAAGGAAAAATTCCAATAATAATCAGTGCATTACAACAAAATCACAAAACTGACATTTTATGTAGACTTCTGATTCATGTAGATGTCAGTCAACATACATTGATTTTCTTGATCCACTGCTATGATTTGAGTATGAAATGTTTTCCAGTGGTTTAGTTCCCAGGATGTGGCATGATTTGGAAACCAAGAAGGAGAACCGAGCTGAAGGAAGTAGGTCCTTGGACTTGGCCCCCCTTTTTTGTTTCATCCTGTGCTTCTTCACCCTAGGGTTCAAATCAAGATCCTCAGCCATACTCTCCTGCAGCTATGACGCTCTGCCCAAGCACATGGGGACAAGCAACCAGGAGTGGAGCCTCTGAAGCCATGAGCAAACAAATCTTTCCTCCAGTTGTTCCATCAGGTGTTCTGGTCATAATGATGGTAAAGCCAATCAACCCAGTAATGGAATGAAACGTGTATGAATGCACTTTTCATTTTAAGAGTTAACTCTAACCCACATCAGGACAGTGTGCAAACTGAGAGATTTTTGAAACACTCAGTCCTAAATAGTATGTTTGCATCAAACCCCTCCCTTAAGGGCTCAGGGAATATGATGGTTTGAATAAAAATGGACCTTGTGGTAATTTTAATGTAACTGGCCCCCATTAGCTCATAAGCTCATAGGGAGTGGCATTATTAGGCGCTGTAGCCTTGTTGGAGTAGGTGTGGATATACTTGGTGGAGGCAGGCTTTGAGGTCTCATATATGCTCAAGACACTGCCCCGTGTCTAGGCCACTTCCTGTTACCTTCAAGATAAAGGACTCTCAGCTACCTCTTGCCTGCATGTGCCATGCCTCCCATCATGATGATAGTGGACTGAACCTTTCAACTGTAAGCCAGCCACCCCAATGAAATGTTTTCCTATGTAAGAGCTTCTGTGGTCATAGCATCTCTTCACAGCAATAGAACACTAAGACAGGGAGCTATGTGGAAGAGGAGGCAGAAAAACTGTAAGAGGTAAAGGGAATAGATGACACCAAAGAAATTAAGCCTTCTAGACACAACAGGATGGACACACAGATGAACTCCCAGCGACTGTGGCAGCATGCACAGGGCCTGCTGCACATGCGAGACAGCATGCAAGCACCAAGAGGGGGACGTGGACATGAGCTCCATCCCTAATCAAGAAGCTATCTCCAACTGACGCCCACTTACAAAGGAAAACTTAGCTTTTTCTAATGGAGTCTCACTGGGTATATAAACCACACGTAAGGACAGGCCCCCGTGCCCAGCAGGAGACAACTAACACAAAATGAACTCACAGGCAGGTATTTTGTAGATTTTTTTGGTCTCAGTTTTTGCTTTGTTCAGGTATATTCTGTCTTATGGCCTTCTGTTTGTATGATATAGGTTCCGATTTTGTGATTTTATGGGTTGTGTGTGTGTGTGTTTGTGTTTCTTCTTTTTTTGTTCTATTCTGGTTAGTTTGTTTGGCTGTTGTTTTCTAAAGAGAGAGAGAAAGAAAGAAAGAAAGAAAGAAAGAAAGAAAGAAAGAAAGAAAGAAAGAAAGAAAGAAAGAAAGAAAGAAAGGGCATAGAGTTGGGTGGGTGGGGAGGATCTGGGGGAATAATGATCAGAATATGTGGTATGGAAAAAACCGTTTTTCAATAAAAGTATGTTTAAAAATGAGTACCTTAAGGTCTACATTCTGTTACTTACCTTACTAAATATCTTATAAATTCCAAAGAAAACACAGCGATATACAAATGCTTGTAAATTCCATGAGGTAAGCTCCAGAAGGAAAATGAGGAAGAGGTAAGCCGCTCCTGTGGCAGCCATGGCAATCACATGTCTTCCAATTGAGCTTTGGCTCATACTGTATACAGAAATATCAACTGATGGCGAGAAGACCAACACAAGAATGTTAGCAGAATGAGATGTCACCTAGGTGCTTGAGTTGAGATCCCTGCCTTCACTCCCCCTCATGAGCAGATCCGCTGTCAGCTATTAGCAGAAATGTTTTGCAGTAACCCACAAAACATAAAAATAAGGATGAGACATCTCTGTGTTCTGTGGGCCTGAATAAAAATCCATACTGAGAGACTGAGAGAAATGTAAGGCTATGGAATGTATCTCAGTTCCCATTCCAGAAGACAGCGTACCAGCACACAGAAGAAACACCCCCAGGCAAGGAGAAGGTGGGGAGCAGATACCCGTTTCCATATTGTTCTAAAGACCCTCTTGGGAACCCTATCAGAAGACTGAACGTTGGGCCACACATAAAGTCAAATAAAAAGAAAGTAAGCAGGTAAAACAGAGTCCATAGAACCATTTTATTGAATGAGAAATGCACCGGTCAATAGTGGTATATGCCAGCTAACACAGTTCTTCAGCTTAGCTGCTCTCTCTACTCCCAGAAGTGGGCAGAGCTTACCTGGATTGATTTAAAGAGAACTAGCTTTCAGGTATATCATCATTCCGTCTCCTGCCATGTGCCTTAAACACCACCCCAGAGGAATCTGCTACACTATGAGAAAAAAAAAAAGTCCCTTGGTCCCGCCAGATCCATGGCATTTTATGCTAGCTATATTCTATATCTAGTGACCTTTCTAGATCAGGGACCAAACCAAGGGTACACTTAAATTCAGAGCACAGCCAGCAACCAAGAGACCTTTAAGAACCCGAAGGAAAGGCTTACTAGCTGAAGGACATTGCTGGCTGGCCCCACCAAAATAGTGAAAGCCTGTCATTCTAAGAGAGAGCTTACTAGTTCTTTAAAAGGTGGTGCCTCAAGAGCAGCCCTGAGCCAGCGCCTTCAGCCAGAGCAGGCCTGAGGGAGCAACCTCCACAGGAGCAGGTACAAGGGAGCAACCCACCAAGGGAGCAGGCCCAGGCCAGAGATCCCTGTGGGACCAGGCCCAAGCCAGGGACATATGTGGGAGGGGCCTGAGCCAGTGACCTCCACCAGAGCCTGTGACTTCAGCTGGAGCAGGCCCAAGGCAGTGACCTCTACAGAAGCAGGCACAAGGGAGCAACCCACTGAGGGAGCAGGCCCAAGCCAGAGACCTCTGCGGGACCAGGTGCAAGTTAGGGACCTCAGAGGGAGCAGGCCCCAGCCAGGAACATCAGCAGGAACAGGCCCGAGCCAGAGACCTCTGCAGCACTGGGTGCGAATCAGCGACCTCCACCAGAGCAGTGCCAAGCCAATTACCTCCACTGGAGCAGGCCTGATACAGTGACCTCTGCCTGAGCAGGCCCAAGGCATCAACCTCAGCAGGAGAAGCCCCAAGCAAGCAATCTCGATAGAAGCAGGTCCAAATGAGCCCAGGAACTGCAGAGCAAATACCCAGAGCACTGAGCAACCTTTGTGAACACTGAGTGACCTCCAGGGTGACTGGAACCATGGCCCTGACTGCACCATGAGGAGCAACTATCTGAGTCTTGGATCCACTGGCAACTGGAATATTGATCACCAGAGACACAGCCCCAACTACACCAATCAGAGGAAAAGATGGGTAAACAAGGTAAGAACACACTCAACACCACAAAGAGCAACACGACACCAATAAAAACTAGTGGCCCTACAACAGCAAGACTTGAACACTCACATATAGATGAAGCAGAAGAAAATGACCTAAAAAATAACTTTAGGAGAATGTTTGAGGCCCTTAAAGAGGAAGTGAAAAATTCCCTCAAAGAAATGGAGGAAAAGACAAACAAAAAACTGGGAAGAAATCAACAAATCCCTTAAAGAAAATCAAGAAAAAGCAATCACAGATGAAAGAAATGATTCAAGACTTGAAAACCGGAATAGAGACAATAAAGGAAACACAAACTGAGGGAATGATAGAAATCAAAATTATGAGGAAATGATCAGGAACCACAAACGCAAGCATAAGTAGCAGAACATAAGAGACTGGAGACGGAATCTCAAGTGCTAAAGGTACAACTGAGAAGACAGATTTATCGGTCAAAGAAAACATTAAATCTAACAAAAGGTGGTAGCCTCAACAAACGTACACAAGAGTTTACAACCATTTCCACAAGGATCACAAGACCCCAAACTGACACCTTCAATAATGGACTTGCAGATGAGGTTTGATATGAGAGAGATGGCTCAGCAGTTAAGAGTACTTTCTGCTCTTGCAGAAGACCCAGGTTCAGTTCCCAGCACCCACATGGAAGCTCACAACCATCTGTAACTCAACAGATTTTAACAGCAAGCTTTATCAAACTAAAGAAAGAATCAGCGAGCTCAAAGACAGAACATTCAAAGACTGCCAGTCAAAGGAACAAATTTGAAAGCTAATAAAAAAAAAACGAAGGATGGCTATCTAGAGGATTTTTCTGGCTCATCATCAAGAGATCAAACCTACCTTCAATAAAATTTAAAGAAGGTAAGAAGGGAGAGAGGGACTCAGAACCATAGTTAAAGCACTTGTGTGGAAATTCCCATGTCCCAGAAAAGCGTCAATGACTCAACCTCTGGAAGCATGGGATTGCTAATGAAACCCAAGCCAGGTGTTCACCAAAAGCCTGATGGTCAAACTATCAGATCTCAAAGACAGAAAAAAAGTATAAACAACATGGAATGTCCTCACTATAAGTGGATATTAGCTGTAAAGTAAAGGATAACCATGCTACAATCCACAGCCCCGGAGAGGCTAGGTAACAAAGAGGGCCCAAGGAGAGATCATGGATTTCCCTGAGAAAGGGAAACAGAAGAGATCTCATGAGGGTGAGAGGAAAGATGAGCGATGAGAGACTTGGTTGTGCGGGTTGGAGGTTGGGTGGAGGAAGAGAGTAGTGAAAGAGATAACTTGATTTGGAGGGTACATTTTGGGGTTAGGGAGAAACCTGGTGCCAGAGAAACTCCCAGGAATCCAAAGGATGACTCCAGCTGAGACTCCTAGCAATAGTGGAGAGGGTGCCTGAATTGGCCTTCCCCTGTAATCAGACTGGTTACTGCCCTAATTGTCATCAGAGAGCCTTCATCTGGTAACTGATGGAGGTGGATGCAGAGATCTACATGCAAGCATGGAGGAGGGGGATCCTGTCAAAGAGAGGGAATGGATTGTACAAGCCAGGGTGCTAAGGTCATGATGGGGGAACCCACAGAGACATCTGACCTCAGCTACTGGGAGCTCAAAGACTCTGGACCAACTGCTAGGGAGCCTTCATGGGAGCAGTCTAGGCCCTCTGCCTGTGTGTGTGTGTGTGTGTGTGTGTGTGTGTGTGTGTGTGTGTGACAGTTGTGTATCTTGGTCTGCTTGTGGGGTTCCTAGCAGTGAGATCATGACTTGTCCCTGGTGCTTGAGTTAGCTTTTGGGAGCCTATTTCCTTTGCTAGGTTGCCTAGCTCAGCCTTGATTTAGGATGAAGAACTTACTTGTTCCTGTCTCAACTTGATGTGCCATGCTTTGTTGACTCCTATGGAAGTCTGAATAGAGACAGAGGAGGAATGGACTAGGCCGCGAGAAATGGAGGAGAGGAGGGAAGGAAAACTATGGTCAGTATTTAAAATAAAGGAAAATAAATAAATAAAAAGTATAAGTAGCAAGAAATAACTATATCACCAGGCTGGAGAGATGGCTCAGTGGTAAAGAGCCCTGACTGCTCTTCCAGAGGACCAGAATTTAGTTTTGTTTACCCACATTGAGTAGTTCACAAACACTTGTTATTCCAGCTCCATGGGATCTGGTGCCATCTTCTGGCCTCCACAGGCACCTGCACTCATGCATGTACACATGATTAAAAATAAAATATTAAAAAATATACAGTACATATAAAAAGTCTTAACAGAAAAACCAGCATACTTCTCACTAGACACAGGCCAACAAAGAGCACATGGGATGGTACGTTTGAAATACTGAAGGGAAAACAAGACAAACCAACAAACAGAACGAAAACATGCCAACTGATAATACTATGCCAGGCAAACTCTTCTTTAGAAATAGGGAGACAGAAGGTGAGAGGGGGAGAGAGAAGGGAGAAGGGAAAGACTGGGGAGAGCTTGCGGGAGTGGGAGGTTGGAGATGGAGGAAGGACAGATATAGGAGCAGGGAAGAAGATATCTACATTAAGGGAGCCATTTTAGGGTTGGCAAAAGACTTGGCTCTAAAGGGGATCCCAGGTGTCCACGGTGATGTCCCCAGCTAGGTCCTTGGGCAGCAGAGGAGAGGGTGCCTGAACTGGCCTTGCCCCACTATCACACTGATGATTGTCTCGAATATCACCACAGAATCTTTGTCTGGTGATAGATGGAGATAGAGACAGAGACCCTCATCAGAGCAACGGACTGAATTCCCAAGGTCCAGTTGAAGAGCAGAAGGAGGGAGAAGATAAGCAAGGAAATCAGGACCTTATGATCGAAGGGTGACGGTGACAAGGGCCATGAGGATGTGGGGGCAGAGGAAAGGCCACTACTGGTTGGATGTGAATTAGCACAGAAAATGAAAAATATACAAAGGTTTCTCAAAACATTAGATGTGAAATTACCGTTACTCAGTAGCAACAGTAGTGTGTTTATATACAAGGGAAATGGAATCAAAGAGACATCTGTGCTTCTGTGTTTACGGCAACACTATCAACAACGGCCAAGGAACAAAAAGTACAATGTCTGCCACCTGAAGACCAGACCAGGGAAAACATGGTTCCTATAACAGACAAGCAGGGGACTACTCGTCCATAGAAAAGGATGAACTCTTGGCACTTGTGACAACCTGGATGGAACTGAGGGACATTAAGTAATATAAAATAGGCACCCACACATGTGCACACGCACAAAGGAGAACTGTTCTGTAGTCTGTTTTGGTGAGCATTCTATGCACACACATGAAAAACATGCATTCTACTGCTGTTGGATTAGCCTGCGTGAACTTGGTGTAGCTGCTGGCTAGAGTTTTTCAGCTCCTATGTGTCTCTTCTGATCCCCAGACTTCTTGTTCAAAAAAGAGCACTAAACCTCTAGCCAGCACTATGGACTTAACTTTTTGGCTTGTTGCTCTCAAATTTGACTTGAAGTTTCCTAACTCTTACGAATTGATGAATGATCTGACTTCTTGGCTACACACCTAGAGTGCGTCCATTCACACTTATTCCTAAACTATTTGTTGGATTCTAGAAACAAGGCTGATAAAGTTACCTGCTGTATCTTTCTCCAGACTTTCCAGACTCCCACACCTCTCTCGCTTCCCCTCTGGCTCCATCCTTGGAATTTGGGGTACAACTGCTTCTATCTTCTCCTGTCGCACAAACTCATATTTACTGTGCCATCTAGAGCCTGGCTTGTACTTTCCAGGTGACTTGCCAGCACTGTGAAAGGGCTTCACAGTGTACTTTAGGTGCGTGGCCTCCTCATGAGACATCTCTCAAGTTGGAATGCTCACCCCTGCCTCTTCACTGAGCTTGTGTTCTTCCTCTCACTACCAAAGCAACTCTTTCCACCCTTTAACTAAGCATTCACAAACCTTTACACATGCCTCATGTGCCCAGCCCCATGTTAGACAAGACATAATCTAACACTGGTTGGCACCTCCCCTTCAAACGCTAGTATGTAGGGGAGCAGCCTGGCAGAAATGTAAATTCAATGAAGAATGTAACTACCTCCTCTCTGGGGAGACCCTTCTCACGAGAGGAAATGTGTACACATTTTGAATCTTAGCTAAGCTATGTTTGTGACATAGTGCATGACATTCTCTCAAACAGTAGATGGCAATGCATAACTTGATCTGCTGCACAGACACCCAGTGATACTAAAATTATTCACATGTAAGTGATAGTTCTTGACTCTCATGAACCACAGAAAGCCTCAAATACTTACGAATTTCACGGCAAAATTTAGTGGCACTAACATATTCTGAAGAAGTACATAGTTTCTTCATCTCTTGGATGTTATAGTATTTGTAGATGCTCACCCCAAGGTTATAGAGGGGTAACAACAGCAGCAAGTTAAGTATGAAGTCCTTAGTACTGGTGCTGATGTCTATGATTTAAAAGATAACATTAGCATGCTTTGACAAAATTAAACTGAGAAAATGACAAGGCATAGTATTATTCTCAAGGAATTCTAGTCTTGAGGAATGCTTGATGTTCTAGAACACAACTTATATCAATGATTACAGCTTGGGAAAATCCTTTAAGAAAAGCTGATGTGTATATGATCTGCTATCTGAGAGAGCAGAAGAGCATTGGGTGCTACTTCCTGCACCTCCTTTCCTGTGTGATCCATGAAGAAGAAAGGTTATATCAGGCATGGTGGTATGTACTTGCAGTCCTAGAACTCAGAAGCCGAGGCAGGAAGATCAGGAGTTTGAGAACAGCTTGAGCTACACAGTGAGAGTTCTAGGCCAGTCTTCCCTAAAACTCTATGCCCTGTCTCAAGTATTACTTAATTAAAGGAAATTTAGTTTAACATTCAACAGTAAAGAATGGGTAAGAAGTGATTGATCAGTTGAAAAAAAATGCATCTTTAAAGGAACAAATTTAAAGCTGAGGCTCTTCCATATATTCTTCCTGCTTTTTCAGTTATGTAAATAGTTCTTTTCTCTAAATCTGTTTAGCAAACTTATAAAAATGAAGTTATAAACAGCAATGATGATCTATCAAATAATAGAATCCATTTCAAATCAGTCACTCTTGACTCACTTCCTGATTTCCAAATGTCAGGCAGGTTTATGGGACAGGTAATATGTAGTTGTGTTTATTTAAGGGCACTTAGTTAAAGCAATATAAATTGTACATTAGTGGTAATTTGTTATAGCAGAAATAAGAAATACTACAGAGGATAATTGATAGTCATGTGACTAATTTGGAGAATGAGACTGAAGAATAACTTCTACAAATTAAAGAACAAATTTCTTTATCTGCTTTTAGTAGCATCCCTTGAAAAGTTACACCATAAATATTAAAGCAGTCTCAAATAACCAAAGATCTGGTGAGAGGACACGACTTGATGGCAGGGGTTGTTAGAGGCTTCTTTCTCCTGGTTTTTCCAGCACATATTGCTAAGTAACTCAACACATGGATATTTATGCTGTGCTTTGGAGAAGGGGCGGCAGCAGCCTTCAGTCTCCAGTGTCCCTATTTGTGATCATCATCCTGTCAATTCTTGAGTGTCACAATCAAAGAGGAAGGCCAAGAAAACAAAGCCTTAAAAAGGTGATTAATTTATGATATTAGCGGCTCAATGTGGCCTTTTGTTTCACTCAATCTCGTGTTATGATATTAAAGGCACTTAATAAGGCTTATTAACTAATTTATTTTCCTGAGAAACCCAGAACAAAAGAACTGTGGAGTGCTGCTTTTCCTGAATGTCATTCTTCTTTACTTACAAGAAGCTCCTGAAAGAAAGGAAGTTTGTGAATCCCTTACCTGGCATGATGTTTACCACAGCATCCACAATTATACTCATAAACCCTAAACAGTGGTTGAAGATGAAGATCTTGATATAGGCACCGGTGCTAGTATTGTACCAGAAGCTCAGCAGGTAGATGAAGGGGATGGCGGACCATCCAAAGAGCATGAGGATGAGCATCGTGTCCAGGAAATGGTATTTCTCCAACAGTATGTCCACATCAGTGATTAGGAACACCAGCTGAGATGGACACAAAGCAAATGATGTGTGTTAGCTTCTGTCTACATTGCCGAGTTTCATGGCGATAACAACTGGCAGGTACTTTAGGGAGAGGCTCCTCAACTTTTTGGCTGACAAGGAGGCAAGAAGCTGCTGGAAGTAAGGGCTGAGCTGATAATGTTAAAAACTTGCCCCTGTTTAGTATCCACAGTCAAGCACTGGGCCTTGTTCCAGGAGTCTAGCTGAAGAGAGGGAGGAGAGATTGTACAAACCAGGGGGTCAAGGTGGTGATGGGGAAACCCACAGAGACAGCTTACCTAGCTCTGGGGAGCTCAAAAACTCTGGACCAACAGCTAGAAAGCCTGCATGGGACCATCCTAAGCCCTCTCTGTATGTGGGTGACAGTTGTGTAGCTTTGTCTGTTTGTGGGACCCTTAATAGCGGGATCAGAACCTGTCCCTGGTGCATGACAAGGCTTTTGGGAAGCTATTCCCCATGCTGGGATGCCTCCCACAGCCTTGATGCAGGGGGAGGGGGAGAAGTTTGATCCTGCCTCCAACTTGATATGCAGTGCTTTGTTGGCTCTCATGGGAGGCCTGTCCCTTTCTGAAAAGAGACCAAGGAAGAGTGGATGGTAGATGGGAAGTGGGGGGCAAAACAGGAGAGGAGGGAGGGGAAACTGTGGTTGGTATGTAAAATAAATTTTAAAAAATTAATAAATAAAAGAAAAAAATGCCCCTAATGGCCTACTTCTAATAACTAGACTCCACCTCCTAAAGGTTCCGTAGACCCCAGATAGCCTTACCAGGAAGTGAACAAATTCTCAAACTATGAGTCTTCGTGGGGCAGTTCAGATTCTGACTACAGCACTTAATACCTAACCTAAAAGCCTGAAATCTTAGTGAAGGGAAAAAAGGTCCCTTTGATGGAACTGACTTCCACCAACTAAATCGTTCTGTTGGTGAGTGACTTCCTCACCACTGAGCATGGCCACAGCTCTTGCCTTCCTGCTTTGTCTTGACAGAGAATGCCTTCATCCCATTCTCCTCCGAGGGGATCAAGTTGCATTTTTTTTTCGTTACTCCCAATTCCAAGGAAACTCACTCTCAATATCTCTGTTTTTACAAATCAGTTCACTTTGTAGAAATCTTCCTTTATTTCTTTCCTTCTTTTTATTGGCTTCCTTTTGTTAAGGTTAACACTAAAGGATCTACCTTGTAATACTAAAGGATTGCACCATTCACTATAAATAATGATGTTCTTGTGTTGGTTATGTTAATTATGCTAGCTTAAATTTTCTTATCATTATAAGGTTTTATAAGTCGATGGTAAACTTGCTTCACAAATGAATTTAGAGTTATTTTAATCAGTCTCTTGGAGATGTTGGTTTATAATTGATAGCCTTGGTGCCTTAGGCATTAAATAGATTTTTTAAATCAAACAATTCATCTTGGAGTTTTCCTTTTACAAAAGTTGTAATTACAGATTCCACATGTGCAATTTGTTTTTTAATTCCTTACAGGTTTTTTTGGGGGGGGATCCTCAAATTTCAGAGTTATTAAGACCATATTTTCTACTTTAGGGTGTGGGGTTTTGCTAGCTTTTCATCATCTTAATTTCTATGCAGAGGGCAGATTGTTTAAACAACTTTTCAGTTACTTCCCAGTAAACTGAAGTGTGGAGGAAATAATCTGAGATTTCAATCCTTAAAAATGTTTTATGGAGTCAACATTATGAGGAATGAGTGGAAAAACGAGAATCTGAGGGAAGTTCCTCAAGGTACTTGGTGGGGAAGGAGGAGAGGGCAGCCCTTGCCAAGACCAGGGATCAGAGTGTGGCTATGGCACAGCTCCTCTCAGCAGTTTCTGACTGGATGAGGGAGACGACCCTGTGCTATCAGCTGCCAGAGCCAGAGGAATGGCTTAAGACTCTGAAGGACATTAAAACCATGATGGCTCTGTGGTAATTTCGTTTTGCTGAATGACTCCATAAAGAATCGGAAGGAATACCAGAAGATCAATTGGTCCAAAACTAAGAGAAAATGTAAAAATGGACACATATACCTACCTCAACGTGCTCAACATATCAATTTTCCCATAAGCTTAGAACACATGTATTTGACATAGCTCTCCAGTTAATAAGAATGGTTACATAGAGAAGTGGGCATCAACGGGATTGCTACAGTGAGTGGTATCTTGTTATGTGTTTCAGAAATAGCTACAAAAATGGACCAACACCGACAACTTCTCTTATGTTTTAATTCTTTATGGAGTCATACAGCAAAATGAAATTATCACAGAGCCATTATGATTTTAATATCCTTTTGCTATACAGAGAAATGGATGGGTTCTCTTTAACGTTGAGTATGGAAGCTCACTTTCCCTTTAGCCATATAACTGTGGCTGTGGAGAGGGCACCAGATGGGGAAAAGCAAGAGAAAGTAACAAATGCAAGCAGACCAAAATTCTTCTCCTGGTCTTGCTTCTGGAAGACTTATATTCAACTTCTATTCTATTACCTATAGTCTTCAAAGCAAAAGTTTTACACATATGTGAGCGCGCGTATACACACACACACACAGACAATTTGAATGGTACATGACATAATTTAAAAGTTTCTAAAGGAAACCTTCAAGAGCTGAGTCCAAATATCTCTTGTATAATCCAGCAAATGAGAAGCACTGGGAAAAGGACAAGGTCTGTAGTGTTTGCTCGGGAACCAGCAGTCTGCTGGGACACATTCTTCCACAGAAAACAGCTTTGAAGGCAGAACATGTTGGTGCTCAACTATGTCAGAAGTTAACTGTTTCAGCTGAGAATGTTTTCATTAAAAGAAATATAAAAAGATTTTTTTTTGCTCTGAGAAATATTCCCCAACAGATTCTCTGACTTGATTGATTAGTCAAACCACTTTATCCTTTTCTGAAGACATTTACATTTTAGTAAATGTCAGACAAGTAGACGATGTCTACAGCATATGAGAGGTGACCCTCAAGACAGAACATGAAACACTCACCAGCAGTAGAGCACAGGCAACAAAATGGACGATGAGATCCCATAGCAGAGCTGAGAGCCAAAAATTAAAGGTGTAGACCCCACTCACAAACTGGATGTGCTTTGCTTTACTAACTCGCTCAGTCACTGTCATAAGGCAAAAGCCACTGGTGAAAATACTCATCCCAAACAACAAGTTAAAGACTAGCCGAAGAATCAAAGTAGACCTACAAAAAGAATACATAAAGGACACACAATGGTATGATGATAATATTGATTGCTAACAATAGCACTTCATTACAAACACGGTGAGACAGGAAGAAAAGGATCAATTTAACAAATCCCAGACTAAAAAAACATACATACGTCTCTTTATATTTGTTCTCAGTGACACGTTGAGGCTGAGGCTTGTTGGAGACAGTAATGGTGGCATCTGAACCAGAGAGAGACATAAATATAATATTGTCTAAAACCGACAAGGATAGTGACGGTGAATGGTATGCCTCGTTGTTGAACCAGAAGGTAAACTCCTTCTTGTCTCTGGTAACGGTGAGGGAGAATGCAATGATGCATGAATAAATGCATTTTTTATTTTTCAGCAAGTAGTCCTGGACATCACCTGGAAGGAGGAGATAATAGTGGTCATGAGATCAACTGCAATAAATATCACTGACTACATGGTTATTTTTTTGTGGGGGTGCATTTTTTGTTTTGTTTTGATTTTGCTTTTTGTCTTTTGAGACAGGGTTCCTCTGAGTAGCCCAGGCTGCCCAGAAACTCTCTCTGTAGACCAGGCTGGCCTTGAACTCAGGGATCTACCTGCCTCTGCCTCCCAAGTGCTAGGATCAAAGATGTGCATCACCACACTTGGCAACCAGGTGTGTTTTAAAGAGAAATAGCCCAATAGTTTACTTGTCTGGTGCTTCACAGCAGCCTCAGCACATCTTGGTCATTTACCCCAGAAATCCATCCCTCGGCCACACAAATTTTATGCCTTTAGCTTAATTTAACTAAAGAAAAATGAAAATGAAAATATTAACACTCTCAAGTTTCTTTCTTCCTTTCAAATCTTTCCGTTTCTACATGAAAATATAAGTACTCCTTCTTCTGGCTTTTACAAATTACCACATAGAAAATCAAACTCTTCCTCAGAGAATATGAAGGCTAAGTAAAAACATAAGATACGTCTATATGAAGGAACAGAGAGTTACTGTTACTTGGGATTGTAAATATTTAAGAGGGAAAAGAAACTCAGATGATTAAGTTCAAAAATCTGTACAACTCTTCTTATCCCATCCTTGTAGAAAAACAAAGCATACCAGATCAGAGTGCTAAGAATTATAGTAAAAAGTTTTTAAAAAGCTATGAATTTATAAGAACTTTTAGAGATTCCATGAATCTAAGAAGACACAAATTAAGAACTACAAATCTTCCCAAACCACCCCAAAATAAGAATCTAAGCTCTAAAAAGGGAAGTTCCTAAAAGTAAGCTTCATATTAAACCAAACTTGTAAAACTATGAGCTGAGGCTATTACCTATGGCCTCAAAACTAAAAATAATTTTTAGGTCTTCAACTGATAGAAAAAAAAGAAAAGAAAAAGGAGGGAACAATTAGTAAAATTATTCAAAAGAAAAAGAAAGAAGACGAAAATAATAAACTTAAAAATGAAAAGGAGACAGTTTAACACATACAAAAAAATTCAGAAAATCAGACTTAACTTAAAAAAACTCATGTTTCACTTGCTTGGAAAATTGAAAAAAATTAAAATGGATGAATCTCAAAACACATAAAACCTGCCAAAGTTAAATCAAGTTGAAATAAACAATTTAAACAGATTTGTAACAAGCAAAGAGACTGAAGTAGTAATTAAAACTTTCCTAAGGGGGGGGGGGGGGAACGTATCAGAACCAGAGCAATTCACTGCAGAATTCTACCACATCTTCAGAGAACTAATACCAATACTATTCAAATTATTCCATTAGATAGAAAAGGAAATAATGCTTGCAACTGATTTTATGAATCCACTATTACATATTATCCAAAACCCAAAAATATACAACAAAAAGAAATAAAATTATATACCAAATTTTCTGATGAACATAGATGCAAAAGCTCTCAACAAAGTATTGCCAGGCTGGATTGCATTAACAAGATTACTCATAGCGATCAAGTTAGTATGGTCCATATATACACGATCCAATTTATCACAGACAGTCACAACTACAGATATCATGATTGTATCAATAGATGTAGAAAAGGCCTTTTACAAAATCCAGTGTGGACTCTAGGGTACATGATCATCTTAATAGATGCAGAAGAGACTTATTGACAGAACTCAACAACTCTTCACAATAGAAGTCCTGAAGAAACTCGGAATTGATGGAGCATCTCTAAACATAACTAAAGCTACAAACAACAGTGTCTTAGGTAGGTGTCTGTTTCTGTCATAAAACACCATGACCAAGAGCAGCTTGTGGAGGAAAAGGGTTATTTCCACCTTAAGACTCTCAGGTCACAGTTCCATTACTAAGGGAAATCAGGTCAGGAACTCATGGCAGAGCACAGAGGAACACTGTTTAATGGTTTGTTTACTCCTCATGGTTTTCTTAAACAGCTCAGGACCACCTTCCCAGAGGTGACATCACATACAGTGAGCTGAGCCCTCCAGTTTCAACCATTAATCAAGAAAACGCTTCCCAGGCTTGCCCTGCCCACAGACTAATCTTACAGAGACATTTTCTCAACTGATATTCCCTCTTCCCAGATTACTCTAGCTTGTGTCAAATTAAGGAAAAACTAACCAGGATAAACAGATATATTGCCAAATTATTTTGGCAAATCTCAAAGTATTTTTGCTTTTAAAATCAGGAACAAGACCAGGATGTTAACGTTCTTCATTCTTGTTAAATATAGTTCTGGAAGTCTTAGCTAGAACAGTAAGGCAAACAAATAAAAAGAATACAGACAGGAAAATAAGTCAAAATGTTTTTATTTGCAGACCATATGATTTTATGCAAGACAATACTGACTTTGACAGAGAAGTAACAGAGCTGATAGGTACTTAACAAAGTGGAAAAGTACAAGGTTAACACTCAATAAAAAGAAGCAAAAGCGGTGGCCTTCCTAAATACCAGTTACACACACACCAAGAAAGGGACCTGGGAGACAGTCCCTTCACAACTGCCTACAAAATACCATGACATTAATTTAACAAAAAAAGTAAAAGACCTAGACAGGAAAAATGAAAACCCTCGACAGCAAATTTCAGGGAAACAGTATTGGACAGAAATACCCCTGCCTCGCTATGCCCTGCTGCGGTGACAAATACCCTGGACATAACTGAAGAGGGAATGGGTTCATTCTGGCTCAGAGTCCAAGGGCGATCCACCATAGAGGGGAAGTCAGAGCCCAAGTGCTGATGACACCACGTGTGCAGTCGGGCAGGAGCCTGATGAATGCTGGCGCTAGACTGCCTACCTCCTTTGTATGCAGACCAGGCCCAAGCCCAGGAAGTGGTGCCACATACTAGTATGGGTCTTTCTACCTCAATTAATTTAACACAACCCCTCATGTGCTTATGTGGAAGCTAAATAATCCCTCCCAGGTGTGCCTGGGTGCTTGTCTCTAAGTGAGTCCAGATTCTATTCAACTGAAAAGCAACGCTGACCATCACAGTCTCCCTTGTTCATGGGTTGGAATGACCACCACCATTGTAAAAATGGCTGTCTTGCCAAAGCAATCTAGAGATTCTCTGAAGTCCTCACCAGAATACCATTGCCACTCTTCACAGAAACAAATAAAAAATAATCTGGAAGTGCAAAAGACCTCAGAGAGCCAAAAAATATTAAGTAAACATTTTTTTTAAAAAAAAGTAGTGTGGAGATATCACCGTAGCTGACTTCAAGGCACATTACAGAGATACAGTAACGAAAATAAATGCATGGTACTAGCATGAAAGCCAACAGTTAGATCAATGTAATATAAGGTCTAAAAATAAAACAATGCAGCTACGGTCACCTGATTTTCACAGAAATTCTCCAAACATTAGTTAGAGAAAAGAAAGTCTCTTTAGCAAATGGTGTTAAAGAAAGGGAATATCTACACAGGAGAAGGAAACTAGACTTTATTTTCACCCTGCATAAAAACTCACTCCAAAAAGATCAAAGATCTTAACACAGGCCTAAAACTCTGAAACTGCGAGAGGAAAGAGTAGGAAAAATGCTTCAAGATTCAAGCATAGATAAGGCTTTTCTGAATAGGACTGAAGTTGCTCAGAAAACAGAATGAATACTCGACAGGCTGGATCTGATAAAATAGATCTGGGCCGCCAAGAGGATGGTGACTGAGTGGAGACCCTAGCTTCAGGACAGGAGAAAACCTCTGGCAAATACCTAATATCTAGAGTATACAAAGAACCAAAACCAAACATCAAAAAAATAAACAACCCAGTATTGGCATATTCATGTATTAGCTGTAACAGTGTGTGTGTGTGTGCGCGCGCGCGCACGTGAGCACGTGTGTGTGTATGTGTGCATGTGTGTGAGACTTATGTATTTCTGCATATCAGGTTACATCTGAACAGAAATAGTTTCACCTCTATAACCCCAGCTGGGTATCTTTCTATTTCTATTTTTTACCTAAATTTTCTAGGTAGAACTTAAAGTTTTATATGAATGGAAGTAGAAAACCCCACTTGCTATGTCTGTCATGTTCCTAGTCCGAGGAAAGGCTTCCAGTCTTTTCTCATTCTGAATGGAGTTTACCTTTAACTCCCAGAATGAAGCCCTACTTGATCGTAGAGCATAACTCTGTTAAATGCTCCACTAAACTACTCGCTACTCTTATTAGGAACTTTTGCAACAGTACTCACCGGGGATATCATATTTATTTCCTTATGATATCTTTTCCTGGTTTGGGTATTAAGAAGAATTCTGGCCTCATAGGATTTGTTTGGAACTATTCTTTCCTTTCCAATTTTTTCAGAATATTTTGAGGAGGTTGGAACTCAGCTGTCTTTTATTTTTAGTAGAGACTAATAAAGATATCTGGTCTTGAATTGCTTTTTAATGGGCAGATTTTTTTTCTATTACCAGCTTAATCTTTTCACCAGTCACAGATCTACTGAGCCTTGATTTATGTTTGAATCTCAGTAGCATGTGAATTACTGAAATTTTGTTTATTTCATGTAGGACATCTTGTTTCCTATACAGATTACCACAGACCTTCCCCGCAATCTTCATTTCTATAAAATGAGAAGTGGTGCCCTTTCCCTAACTTCTCATTAAGCCATTGAGCCCTCTTCCTTTTTAACATATCTAAAAATGCCTCAAGTTGGGTCTTCTCTAAGAAGCAAACTTTGATTTGTTGGCTTTTTCCTATTGTTTCTCTTTGCTCAATCTCTATTTTTTCTTTTCTTTGATAGCAGATGTTTATTTTGTTCATTGAGTTACTTAAATGTAAGGTTAGGTTCACTCACAGCTTTTCTCAATTAAAAGTTTTTCCCTTAGCATTGTTTTACTACACCTGATACATTTTGATGTGATATTAGGGTCTTTTAGTTCCCTTACAAATTCTTTGCCCCAATAGTCCTTGAAGAGTATGTTATTTCTACTGTATGCATAAATTCTGTGACTTTCTTGCTGTTACTAATTTCCAATTTTATTCCATCAAGATCTTAAGGGATATTTCATGTGTTTTTAATTTTAAATTTTATTAAGACTTATTTTAGATCACATTACTTATAACATATCTTGAATAATTATCCCCGTGTACTTGATAAAATTATAAATTATCTATTACTAGACTGCACAGCTTTGTGAAGGTCTGTTAGGCTTGTTTATGCTACAGTGCTGGTTAAGTACACTGTTTATTGTTGAGATGCTGGTCTACTGATATGCTCATTGTTGAAAGCAAAGCTTCAAATCCCCTTCTATTATTGTGGGGTCATTTATTTTCTCCTTCAGGAGAAACACATATTTAGGATACATATTCAGGAACTTGGACGTCTTGCTGAGAAATAGCTGTTCTCTTGGGTGTTGTGGACTGCATCTGCTCAGGGAAATAACCTCTACAGTCAGAAGAGCAAAGGCTTAAAATCTTCTGTGAAGACCCTTTTCCAGTTTCCTGAGATATGACTGCTTCTAAATGTCTTAATTTCTCTAAAAATCTCATCTTGGCTCCTCCTTATGGTAGATGACCCTTCCTATCTTAGAGTATCTCCATCACCAACAACTGGCCTTCAAGGATGGTTCTTGTCTGTGATTGGCTGGTTTTGTGAATCCTATTACAAAATTAGAGAAGGGATGGGGAGAGATGAGATGGGAGGGGAGAGGAGGAGAAGAGAGGAGAGGAACAAATTTCTAAACATTCCACCTGAGACTGCCCTTTCAAATTACCACAAGCAGGTCTCCATCTACTGGTGCCCTTTCTCTGGTAGTAAGAGACTTACCTTGCACTTCATGAAGTTCTTGTTTTTTAGCCTTTAACATGATCTCAAGATTTTTGGTGAGATTCTGGGTCAAATCAGGATCTCCAGAAATTGAGAAGGGTACAATGGTCTCCCTGTACTGCTCCAAATCCATCACCCTGGCAGGTTCTCGAGCCGTTGAGAAGCTTATGCCTCTCATCAGAAGATACATGAGACCCAGAAGTGCCAGCAACTGCAATAGCAGTAGTTTCCAGTTGCGCCAAGAGAACACTGCCCTTTTGAGGAGCATGGCTCGGAACTGCTGGGCGTAGAGAACCCACTACAAGAGAGAGAAGGCGGCATTACAGTGGTCACAGATTTTGATGGAAGTCATTAGCATAAATGTCTTCAGTTGTGTGGTGACAGAGGTACAGAAGGAAGAGTGGGGCTGGTAGACCAGATACTCCATCTTTTCTGAAGGCACCTAACTTCATTACTGTGGAAATCCCCAGAGGGGAATCACTGTCATTAATGTCACTGTTCACAGAACCTCTGCAGAACAACATACCCATTCTCTTACACCATTTTTCAGCATTACCTTTTGCATCAAGTTTCTATGGCTACCTTTTAATATCTGGTCTGCAGGATTGCAGAGCACCAGGAAACAGAAGAATAACTTAGTTTAAGATTACAATGTTCCCAGTATATTTTTACTTAACCTCTAAATTCAAAGCAATCCCCCATGGTTAATTAGAAAATGTACATAAATATATAATTTTGTCTACTTTTCAAGCTTTGAGGGCAATGTGTAGTTGAGTATGGGTTTGTTTTTCAGTTAAATAATGGAACCCTTTGCTCTAAATACATACCTCTTCAGAAAAGGTACTTGAGAGTCAAAGGAGAACATACTAAGCATACTGAAATTTTAAAATACAATTATTGTATTCTCCCCAACATATAGACATCACATAAGTCAGAGTGGGACAATATCCCTAGTCAACCAATGCGTTCTGAGTAGAAGAAACCACACTGGTGTTATCTTTGACCAGAAGTACGACAAAGTGTAGTGGGAGAACCCTTTGCTCCCATCATGGTCCCAAAAGGAAGAAGGCAACTTCTGCTTTTAGGATATTAGTCCATATGTGTGTGTGTGTGTGTGTGTGTTTCTAGAATGAGAAAAATAAAAAGTCTTTTAACACAGTGATCAGCCTTTCTGGACTGGCCTGAAAACTCAGACTTCACCCTCAAAAACTGAAGAAAAACAGGAGAGCAACAGAAATGCCCCATAGTTTATTTGTTTGCATACAAGGAAGAAAGAGAGAGAGCAGGAGAGGAGGTGGCATAGGGTGGCATCTCATGTCAGACATTACACAGTGCACATGACTATACTCTGCTCCCTGAAACAGCCTCATCCACATTAACTGAGCTTGATCAAAGACAACCATCCAGTAAATGACAGTGAGGAATCACAACTTTGACTCAAAATTCTAGACACTCATTGTATATAATACCCTATTTCACAAGCTCCCAAATCCCATGGGGAAAACATAAGAAGTGTTTCTAGGAAACTTGGACAGATATATCCATGGTCTAAGGATCTCTGCTGCATGCCCATGCAAAACTTTTTAAGGAAGATAAATCAGAAGAGCAACACAACAATGTCAGACAATGAGGCGGCAGTCCAGTGCTAACACGGGGGGCCTGAGGCACAGCAGCACTTGAGTGAAATGTCTTTCATATGTGAGGGCAGTGATTGTAATCATTTGTACCAGCATTCTTCAACTCTGAATGAACTAATACTGAAAACGGAAGTAATCCCTATGAGGAAGATCAGCTATGAAAGTAAAATCTGGGCTGGCAAGACGGCTTAGAGGCTAAACGTGCATGCTGCACCACCTGCTGACCTGGGCAGGAGCTCCAGAACCCACACGGTGGTGCAAGGACAGCACTGACTCCACATGTGGATGTGTACATGTGCACACCCCCACATAATGAGTAAACACAAGGAATAAAAACAATTCAAATAAATCAGTTTTGTCCCTTCACTATTTCATAACTGAGTAAGAAAATCAAGTAAATTTCTTTATAAGGTTTTCCCTATGTGGATGGGATTGCTCTAAGTACTCCAAAACTTTTCTGAATTCAGCCAATAAAATGAGATGTCATCTTTTATTCCTCCCAAACATACTAGCACTATATTCTTGGTGAATGTGCTCACCCCAGTATTGAATGAAGAATTAGAATATCTTCTTGGATAATTTTTTCTATCAAAATTTCTGGGTACATTCATATTCTGGTTGTCTTGACTTGTGCTTTTGTCCTCTGTGGAAGTTGAATGGGCAGCCTCAGTATTCAGATTCAAGTCTTCCAGATTACTGACCCTACAAACAAACATACACACACATACACACACACAAACACACACGTGTCAATATATATTAAGAAATAACTTTTAACTATAATATTGGTTCCCTAACTCCTGCCCTTCAAAGAGACATTTTTTAAATGACCGTTCTACACAACACTAACATTAATGATGGAAAACATGCTTTGGGTGTGGGTGTGGGGGGAACATTGAATCTCAGTGGTCAAGAGATTGTCCAGTATGTCTGAGACCTGGGGGTTTAATATCCAGCTTCCCAAAACTTCTGGTGAAAGGCTTTGTGTATGTCAGAAAAGCACTTGGCCACCAAACAACAGCCCCAGCTCCAAGGCACAAAATAAACAAAACATGAACAAAGTTCCAAGACCATGTATTGCTTGTTTTTAGAGTAAAATAGTTATTAAATGTTCTATATTTTACAAAATTATAGTGATAATTGCAGTTTTATTTTATATTTCTAATTCTATAGAAGTCTAATATATGTACAGATTACTTTATAAAGCAAATGAATATATGGTCAATATGCTCTCTTTGGTTGATGGTTTCTATGTGAGAAGTGTGTGTGTGTGTGTGTTAATATAAAGGAGAAATGCTATACAGAATAACAGAAACCACAGAATAAGGAAATATTAAGGGCTTCTGGGTCAAAATGGTGTTTTAGAAGCTGCCTCCACATGACAGATGAACAAGCAGAATTGTGAGACCAAAGACTATTCCAAAGACAGGGCGCTGGGAATCACAGAGAGCAAATGATGTCACCTAACATGGGGGCAAGGCACAGGTACTCACTTGAAAAAAACCTCATCCATGGTAGTCATGGAGACACCAAAGCCAATGATACCAAGCTCTTCTTGTCTTTCTTCTATTTCTGCGAAAAGTTCTGAAAACCTAAAAGATAAGAGAGACAGCATTTGTAAAACATACATACCCATGTACACAGGTGTGTGAACACATACATATGTGTATATCTGTTCTGGGCTGATTTCCCTCAGCTGTGTAAAGAGTGTGGTTAATGCATCACTGAAAAGCTTCTGGTGTTGATGGGTTTCCATGTCCCTGGCAAATCACAATGTGGGGAAACAGAAGAAAGATAGACCAGCAAGTGGTTACAGCAAACTGCTTCCTAGTTCCCTGATAAACCACCATTAGTTTCCTTTATATATTGACTTTCTGCTTTCCCTGCTATTTAGATTTAATTTACTTACTAAATGTCATGGCTTCTGTGAAACACTAAAGTGAACAGGATAAATATTTGTAAACTAATAAGAAGATATCTAAAACAGAAATAAAAATAATTAATCCCAAAAGTTAGAGACCAGATGGAAAGTGCCCTTCCCAAACCAGGGAAGTCTTCAGCAATCTTGAACACATGTGGCTGATGGTGCAAGACTAGGTTCTCTAAAATGTCTTAGACCCTCATTCTTTAAAATCCACTTACTCCAGGAAATCTTCCATTCTCGAAAGCCTCCGCTGTGCTTTAAGGACTGGCATGGCCACAGGACACAAAATCCATTGTGTAAACCTCAGACAAGTTTCTTATATTTTGAATCAAAGTTGGATACAAACTCCTTTCTCTCAACATCAGAAACAAGGGTAAGTTTTATACATTATTTAATGTATTTTTCAAGATAGCGATAAGTATGCATATGCTAGTGATAAGTATGCATATGCACACATTAACAAATGCACAGTGTAGCTTCAAGGTTGTACTAGAAATCCAGCAGTTAGAACTGGTTCATTCTGTGGAGAGATAGGATGAATTTTTAAACCCTTTAATTCAATTCATTCACTCATTGTAATGAAAAGCCTCTGGGTATGTAGATGTATTATTATCAACAATATTCCCAGTTTTTACATAGGTGATTTCAAAATAAAATACAATGCTAACAAAAGACTGTCTATACATATACATGTTAACTACCAAACTCAAAAATGGAAAAAGTCAGAAAAAAAACCACAAAAATTACAAATGTCATTTTTATTATTATCATTTTCTGGTCTTTTCACAGAAATAGCAAAGACTATTCAAAATTTCTCAGGGAAGCATAAAGATTCCAAATACTGAAAAAGATCTGAGCAAAAGACTCAGCTGGACACACAACATAACATAACTCCAAAATCTAATAGAAAACTGTAGTCACCAAAACAGACTATGACAGCCTGGAGGCCAGCAGAACAGGGCTCAAAAGGAATTCACAGAGTTGGCATGCACTATGACTTTTATCTGAGGGGGTTAGGGAAAAGGACACTCATGCACTCTTGATGGTTTCCTTCAGACTTTTTCTTAATTCTTCTTTTGCATTCTCTGCTCTTTATTTTCCTGATGATCTCTCTCACTCATTCTTGATGCTTTCCTTCAAACTCATACTTACTCTATTTTTATCCTTCCCCATACAGCTTATATATCCCAGGCAAAATCTTTCAAGCAATATAAAAATTACAATGTGGTTACATTCAATTTTTCAAGTAAATGATTACAACAAATACAAGTTTAAAAAAACGGTATGTATTCCATGTCCCTTACATGATTAAACATTTTACAGGTAAAAACAAATTATCCCAAGAACCCACATACATTCATATCCAAGCTACTTATTATAGATTGACAGTGTATCAAGCAAGGTGTTCCTTTACTGGCAGGCTGTTTTTTGCGGTTACAAAGAAAGGACCAGTCACTTTATTTCTTGTCTTGAGACGTGATTTTATAAGGAATCTTAAAGAAATCACAAGACTAAACTTTTATACATTAGAAACAATTAGCCTTAAATCTTTGGGCACAGGCCCACTCATCGATAGTTTTTCTGTCAGAAGGTTAAGGGCAGAAATGGGTCTAAGGAATTAATCATCACCTTTGGTCATCAGTAAATCCTAGCAAGAAAGGCATGCAGATCATGACGACTGGGCTGCTTTGTTCTTGCTCCCTGACCTTAACGATTCCTCATCCAACTCTGTGCCTTTCTAAAACTTCACATTATCTTGCTGCGTTTTTCACCTTCAAACTATTTGACAAAACATCTTAGTCTAAGTTATTTTCAAACTTTGTTTTGGTTATGATACACTCTGAAACCTGTGAACACATCTCCAAACATTAAGATCAGAAGAATTTAAACTAGCTGGGTTGCTGGGACTCAACTGTTCTTCTAAATCATTACCTAAGCCACAGTCTACACGGCTCCTCAGTGGAAACTCACGTGTTCTAGCTGCGGGACACTTCCTTGTTTTATTTTTTCTCATCAAAACTCTAAACTAGCATTATTATTATTGTCAATTAGGAAGAAATCATCTTCATAATAATCCACAGATAAAAATGCCCTGTAGAAGAGGATGTATCCATGAGATAAACACGCTGTGTTATGGCGGTGAAGATTTCCCACACCCATTCACACCATGCCACATACCAGAGACAGATAGCAACAGCAAACATGTAAAGGCACAGCAGAAGCAAAAGACATTCCGGGGTCTGTGGGGCAATATTATACAGTCCCCACATTGTATGGTGGCCAAACTCATAGGCCAGTTCATACCTGGCCACACAGAAGGTGGCCACACAGCCTTCCAGACGGGATGCCGCCATCCTAAAAGGATCAGGATATGCTAATGTTGTTCAGCTTCTTCTTTGTAATCTGGAGGATGCCTGGGATAGAGATGTTAATTCGGCCTACATGACAGAGCCCGAAGATAGGAAGACGTGACAAAATGGGCATAGAATAGGTGTGGACGTGACCTCAGACATCCGCCTAGTTACCCAGGAAACAGAATGCTAATGAATTTCCCCTCAGTTTATGTTTTGGTATAAAGGCTGTTTGGAGAATAAACACGAGGAATTTTCAGGATGTGAACTCAGGATTTCATGATGGATCACTGAGAATCTCCCTCCCGATAAAGCCATGTGAGTTGTCTCAATCATTCCCACACCTCCCCTCTGGTCCAGAGAAATAATTTATGGTCCGGGCTGGCACCAGACCACGACAGGGGTCTGCAGTCTCGGGGTCTTTCCTATCCTAGATTTGCCTACCAGGATTCGCTTGGTAGGCTGACACCCCGAAGTCAATTGCCACCTGCTGCTCCTCTGACATGTCCACCAGCAACAGACACTGAGCCATGTGACAGGAGCAAACCCACACAGCTCACAGGCGATACTTAACAGTGCCCCACAAAGACAAAAACGGTGCCAGGAAAGCAGTTACTCACACGCAGAAGAATTAAATCGAACCTTATCTTATATTGTATGGAATATAATCAGCCTACAATGACAATAAGGGCTGAATAATAAGATTTCCTTTCAAAAACCAAAAATCACCCCAAATGGATTAAATGGAACATGAAATCTGAAAACTGTAAAACCAGCAGAAGGAAACAGAGTAGGGCATCGATGATGCTGATCTGAACACGTATTTCTCCTTACCTAAAATTCAAAAGCATAGCCAATGAGATCACTTATAAAAAAAAGAGGGATTACATCTAGCTAACAACTTTCTAAATTAATGCAAGAATGGAGTGAAAGACCCGGATAAATCCAGACCCCTCTAGCAGGAAGAAAAGAGCCAAAAACCTAGGCTAGCTGGTTCAGTGACTCTGTTCCAGGAACTGGCTGACCACAAAGTCAGATTATAATCTTGAGAACAAGCTTGGGAAATGGGGAGTTACCCCCTTGTGATGATCACTGGGATTTTCGCAATTTTCCAATGACGCCCTCCCTACCCACTTTGGGTTGTGGTTTCTTACCCTAAATACCCCTTCTCCCAGCTACTCGGGGTCGAACTCCTCTACCCCTGCATGGGAAATGAGTTTCAGCCCCAGCATGCTGGTTCCTGTCAATAAACCTCATGTGATTTCGGCAAGGGCGGTCTCTTGTGAGTTCCTGGGGGTCATGTTATCCCGAGACTTGAGTGAGAGTCTTCTCACTCCAGGGGTCTTTCAGAAGAGACAGCTCATATTTTGGGGTAAATATTTGAAGTAGAAGGAACTCAGTTATGAAGGAAACAAACAATCCAATCAAAGTGGAACTCACAGATACTTCTCAAAGGAAGATTTGCAAATTTTTAACATAACCAAAACCCAAGGAAATAAAAATTAAAAACACAGTAAATATCAGACCTGTTAGAACAGCTATTAAGAGAGACAAAGTATATTCTGGAGACATTAGGGTGATGGTGACTCTTAACCATTTGTCCTTGGTACAGTAGTACTCACAGGGAAGATCCCAGAAAACTAAAAGTAAAATGTTGTATGATCCAGCCACTGCCTCCTGGTTATAGAGCTAAATAAACAGATCAGCGTCTCCAAATGCCTTCGTTTATCACAACATAACTCAGAGTATCTGAGATACAGGAGAGACATGGTTAAAAAATGCCTTACACTGTGTAAGTGCACAGTGCAGCACCATGCGGCCTTTAAGATAAGAAGAGGCTCATTATCCATTTCAGCCCACATATGTCTAGGAGACACTATCATCCGTGAAAACACGCAGACACAGAAAGGCAAATGGCACATGATTTCCTGTATATAAAGGTCTACAACTTAGGACTCACAGAAGTAGAAAGCACACTGGAGGTATCAGAGCCTCGTGGGGGTGGGGTGGGGATGAGGCTGTTGATCAAAAAGTACAAACTCCCAGTTAGATGGGAGCAATACGCATCACTGATCCTAGCACAGAATGGCAGTTATAAATTTCATGTGTTGTACACCTTTACATTCTTTTTCTGCAAAAATAAGCATATGAGGTAATGCATTTATTATTTGATCATTCTGTAACATAAGCATTTATCAAAGCTTCACAATGTACCTTAGACATTATATATTATACATATAAATTATATATTATATGTGTGTACTGAAAATCATAAGAAAACATTAAGAACCCCCCCTTCTTTTTTATTTTTTTTGGCTTTTTCTGAGACAGGGTTTCCCTGTGTAACAGTCCTAGCTGTCCTGGAACTAGCTCTTGTAGACAAGGCTGGCCTTGAACTCCCAGGGATTCGCCTGCCTCTGCTTCCTGAGTGTAGGGATTAAAGGTGTGCACCACCACTGCCCAGCCAAGCAACCTTTTTATAGAGCAATATAAATTTACTTGTCTCTACTCAGCAAGAAGAAGAAACATCATTATAGTGTCCTATCTTATCATTAATTTATCCCAGTTTCAATGCTTGCCCATAAAGATCTATGGACACTACCTTTGTGGCTTCCTTCTGTATAATTAGTGAAAACTTAGAAAGCAAATGCTCTTACTAGTATGTCTCGAAAGGCAAGTAGCAAGGATCTATTTGCCAAGTCTGAGGAAGCCGAGAAAGGTCACTGCAGTTTCTGATGACCCGATGGTCGCTGTGCGGCCTTTTGGGACCCTTACCTGTGTGTGTACTCCTTTGGCAGGGTAAATGACAATTCAGCTGCGACATGCATCTCCATCTCAGCAGTTGGGATGTAATTCTTAATCAACTCAGAGACTTTTTCAACATCACATTCAAGAGTCTTCACCATGACTAGGTGATATCCCACACCTGAAAGTTTCCATTTGGATGATCAAACACAGGGCCGTAATGCCTTGACAAGCACGTGCTCTACCACTGAGCTATATCTCCAACACTCTTTTTATTCTGTAAATTGTACTTAGTTATGTGTGAAGTGTATGGGGCTATGGGATGTTGTGTGTGAACATATGGAGATATTGCAGGTGTCTTCGTCAATTGGGCCTCCATATTCTTATTTTTTTGAAAAAGGATCTCTCACTGAACCTAGAAGTCCCCAGTTTGGCTAGACTGCCTGGTCAGAAAGGTGCAGCGATCCTCCTGTCTCCCTCCATCCTCCCATCACTGCAGTCACAGGGGCAGACCATCATGCCCTGCCTTTTACTGGAGACCCCAACTCAGATCCTCATGCTTGCGTGGCACCAACTCTACCCACTGAACAGCTCCCTAGGTCCTCTGCACTTCTAGAGACAACATCCCCCTAAATTGCCAAGGCTGGATTAGAATTCATTCTGTAGCCCAGGTAGTCCTTCAACTCACAATTCTCCTGCCTCGGCCTCTTGGATTGCTAGAATTACAGGTCTATATCACTAGGTCTGGAAATAATTTAGTCTTACTAATCAGACTGCATACTCACTATTGATGTGATGTAGGCTATTTGATCCTACTTTTCATCTATTTCCTGTCCATTAAGTTCTGACTGATGTGGTGCTGCATTTGAGGAATAGTTTGTGAACATTAACTAGAAAGGGTTTAGCTCACACAGCGGGGATTTGGTACCAATGTGCAAATGAGAGAACAATGTCAAATATCAGTGTGGTCATTGACTTTCTTCCCTATAAGCATCCATCAATCAATGTATTAATCTGTGTCCCTATGACAAATTATCAGTTATTATCAGCCATGTGAAAGAAATAAATATGATTATGTTCATTGGTTCAATAAGGAGCATCTTCCAAGTCAGAATATGCTTATTGGGTCAGAATGGAAAAAAATTGAATAGATAGGTGATGTATGAGTTATATCCAGAAACGAGGACCAAAATACTTTATATCTAATGCAATAGAACTTAGGTCTTTTTAGAGAAAACAAAAAAAGAATGAAATTGACGTTGGAAATGTTTTTTGAGACAGGGTCTCCCTATGTAGAGCTTCCAACTCATCGTTCTATCCTGCCTCAGCCTACCATGCATCCAGTCACAGGCACACACCAACATGCCTAGCTAAGAGGACGTCACTACAGCACCAGTATCCAAAGAATCAAATAGACGGACCATATAATTTCTTCAGGAAAAGTGAAGAGCCACAGCACTTCAGGGTTCCCATGACTAGGATGGCAATGCGGTCACCAAGCACATCAGCTTCGTCCATGTGGTGTGTGGTCAGCAAGATGGTACGGTTCTCTTTATATTGCTGAAGTAAGTCCCAGGTGGCCCTCCTTGAGACTGGATCCATGCCAGATGTTGGCTCATCGAGTATCACCACCTAGAGACAAGGATAAGTAACCGTGGCTCTATTTACTGTGTGCTTGCTGGATGTGGGATAACCTACTGTACATAGGGGGCATATTTAAGCAAAGATACAGACTCTAGCCTACCCTAGGATGGAGATCTGATAAATTATGGACTGTCATACCTATGACCACGTTATGTCAGCTACATTAATAATAGGAAGCCCCTCTTCTTACATTTGGGAGAGCTGAATTTTGTGCCTGCTTTTGTGTTTGAATCTGGAGGAGTAAAGACCTATTTTATTTTATTTCTTACTATGTGTGTTTACATGTGTGGATATCAGAGACTGATGTCCAATGTCTTCTTTAATCACTCTGCATCTTTTCTTTTGAGACAGGGTCTCACATTGAAGCCAGAAGCCACCGATGAGCTGGGCTGGTTGGACAGCAAGCTCTGGGGATCTGCTTGTCTCCATGACATAATCTCTGCTTTAAGATTATAGATATCCACAAGCATGCCTGGCTCTTACCTGGGTGCTGGGGATCTGGAGGCAGGTCTCCACATGCTCCACAGGAACTTTGGAACCATCTTGCCAGCCCCACAGGAACCCGTTCTAACTGTTATTTACCTTGGTGTCCCCTATAAGAGCTATGATGATTGAGAGTTTGCGCTTCATCCCTCCACTCAGATTCTTGGACATTGTATTACTTTTATGCAGCAGGCCAAAAGCAGTGAGCATCCTACGAATTTCTCCGGTTCTTTTATTTGAAGGCATTCCTTTTATCTATAAAGAAGAATCAACGTTTATATAGTGGTTTTAACTTTGTGCTTAGAACATTCTTACATTAGGGCTTTAACAGAGCTGCCTGCATACACTCGCCCTTCTTGTTGCCTGCAGCAGGAACTTTTGATGAAGGCAGAGCTGCAGGTCCTTGCTCACACTGCCCAGAGGATGTGAAGAGTGCAGAATAAAAAGTGCTCACCACACAGTAGAAATCAAGGTGTTCTGACACAGTCAGCATCGGGAACAACAGGTCATCCTGGGGACACAAGCCCAAGCTTTTCCTAACTTCAACCATGTCCGTTGAGATGTCATATCCACCAATGTAGACCTTTCCTCTGGTAGGAAGATACAAACCTGCAATTAAGCAAAGACATGGCAGGGCTTAGCGTCAGCAAGGGCGCATGACATGCTGCTCCCTAGAGCCGAGCCTACAGAGTCTATGGATCATGCAAAAGCAATAATGTCTCCCACAGAGATACACAGTTGTCAATGGCCATGATCTGACAATGATGGAGAAAGAAATTACTTTTCCTTTTTGTTTAATTTCTATATCTTTATTGAAAATAGTTTGGTTTTGGAATTAAGATGTAATTACAGCATTTTCTCCCTTTCCCCAACCCCTCCCATTTACCTCCCTTTACTCTCAATTTTGTGACCTCTTTTTTAATTGCTGATAAGTAGGTATATATGTATTTCAGAATATGTAAATACAACCTTCCTAGTCTATATAATGTATAGCCAATTAGGAGGTTCTTCCCTGAGGGCTCTCTCTCTCTCTCTCTCTCTCTCTCTCTCTCTCTCTCTCTCTCTATCTCCCTCCCCCCCCCTCCATCCCTTAGTTGCCTGAAGTTCTCTGTGGATGGTTGGGGCCCTGTGAGATTCCCCTTCCACATTAGGATGTCTACTAGTATCCTCCTTGCTTGGGTCGTCTTTGGGAAGTCATGTCATTGAGATTTTATGGGTGTAGCTTCCATGACATTTCTAGGAGACACAATTCAGAGTAGACTTCCTATCCCTCTGGCTCTTACAATCTTTCTACACCTTCTTCCTTGATGCTCCCTGAGCCTTAGGTGCAGGAGGTGTGTTGTAGATGTATCAGCTGAGCTAGGCACCACACACTTGTTTTCTGAATTTTGGTCAGTTGTAATTTTCTGCAATGGTCTCCATCTATTGAAGTTTCTTGATAAGGGAAGAGGTCTACCTGAATCTGTAGTTATAAGGGTAAATATTTATAGTATAGTCAGGGATAATAAAGGTTTAGTAAAGCTGTGGTGTAACTGCCCTCCAAGATCCACCACCTCACTAGCCCTGGGTAGTTGACCAGATTCCAGTAGCAGGCATACCATCCTTCTTGTTGAGCAGGCCTTAAGTCCAATTAGTGAGCTGTGGTTACTGCTGAGGCATACATGCCACTACTGCACCCTTAGGTTACCTTGCCATGTGGGTCTTTGCTGTACAGAGTTGCCACAGTTAGACAGGGCTGTTGATTGCTTTGCCCTGTGGAAGGTTGCATGGCACCTTCTGTTACCATGATAGCTGGTCCTCAGGGAAGATGCTTTCAGGGGAGATCCAGGTCAGATCCGCAGAATCCTATGTCTGAAGTATATGGTATCATCAGGAATAGAGATTTACCTTTAAGCCCTAGGATGAAGACCAATGGCAACAGCAATGGCCTATGGTGTTTAGGGAGTCTCTTAGATTTGCCCAAACAATCTGGAAAGGGGCTTCTCATATCTGGTATTGGGGTTTCTGTCACACAGTCTATGGCTCTTGTGGGGAGCACTGTCAGCCCAGATAGGAAATTTTTATTTAAACTATATATGTATACCTTTAGACTTGTATGTATTATACGTAATTTTAAGTAAATAGAAACAATACGATTCTTTGTGGGGTTGTTTTCAGACATGTTCGCTGTTAGTTGGCACTCTTCCTCTCCTCCTGTACTGATCTCATCTCACCTCCATTTTCATTTCTCCCTTCAAATCACTTGCACGCTGATATTCTCCTCTCTGTCGCCACTCCCGCAGTGCCCCTTCTGCTTCCCTGGTACCTGCAGTTACTCCAGGGTATTTACCCACACCTGAAGATTTGGAGCTAGGAGCCGCAGATGAGAGACATCCCTCCACAGTTGTCTTTCTGGGTCTCTGTTACCTCACTCAGTGCAATGTTCATGATTTCAGGGTTTTTTGTTGTTGCTGTTTTTACAGCTGAGTAGTATTGCATCGTGTATAGGTACCGGATTTTCATTATCCATTCATCAGTTGAAGGATATTTAGGTTGTTCCTATTTCCTAGCTATTGCAGCAATAAACATGACTGTGTAACTATTTCTGGAGTAGAATATAGAGTCCTTGGGGGCATATACCAAGGGGTTAAATAACTGGGCCAGACATTGCATTCATGTTTAGCCTTTGGAGAATTCTCTGATTTCTATAGGGCCCGAAGCAATTTGCAATATCCAATGAGCAGACTAGTTAGAAGACTAATTGGAGATTAGTCTTCTTTCAAATGTTTAGCTGGAAAAGATTCTTTTCCACTCTATGGGCATCCTTCTCACTTGAGTTTCTTCCTTTTATATACAGAAGCATTTTCGTTTTACGACGTCCCATTTATCAGTTGTTGCCCTTAATTCCAGGGCGAATGGAGTCCTGTTTAGAAAGTCGTTTTCTAGACCTGCATCATATAGGGTGCTGTCAAAGTCTTCTTCCACCAGCTTCATGTTTCACATTAAGGTGGTTGATTTGGAGTTAGCTTTTGTGTTTGGTGATAGGTGACGGGTCTAATTACATTCTTCTTCACGTGGACATACACTTTTCTAAGTGCCGTTCACTGAAGATGCTTTCTTCTGTCTAACATGTTTTTGGCAACTTTGTCAAATATCAGGTGGCTGTATCTACTTGTACTCGTGTTTTTTGAATCTTCAGTTTTGTTCACTTTCAAATTTGTTCACATGAACTCACAAAAGCACATGTCTGCTTTTGTGCCAGGACCACGTTGTCTTTATTCCTATGGCTCTGTAATCTATCTTCACGTCTAGAATGTAAATCTCTCCAGCACTGTTCTTTTTACTCAGGATTATTTTAGTTATCCAGATTTTTTTTTGTGCTTCCATGCAAATCTTAGGATAGTTTTTCTATTTCTTTGAAGAATGAGATGGGAATTTTAAATGACATTATATTGAATCTGAAAATGGCTTTGGTAGAATGGCCATTTTCACAATATTAATTCCATCAGTCCATGAGCCTGTGATGTCTCTCCATTTTCTAGTGTCTATATCTCTTTATTCCAAGGTTTAAGACTGTCACTGTAGATGGCCGTCACCTCATTGCTTAGGTTTACTCATTGCTATTTATTGTAAATCGGAGTGTGTCCATGATCTCCTACTCATTGTTGGGGCACAGGAAAGCTATCCATTTGTGTGTGTGTTGAGTCTGTGTCTACCATGTTATTGGAATTGTTCATTGTTTTTTAGAATTTTTCTGGTAGAATTTTTGAAATCTCTTATATTATTATCTGTAAATAGAGACAGTTTGACTCCTTTTCCCCTGTTTTTATCTGTCTAATTCATTTCTCTTTCCTTATTTCTCTGACTAGTGCATTGAGCACAATATTGAAAAGTTAGAATAAGTGAAAGTTCTGTCTTGTTCTTGACTTCAGTGAGATTCATTTAATTGTTTTTCATTTGGAATGATGTTGTAGATTTCTCGTCTACAGCTTTTTAAAATTTATTTTTATTGAGCTCTACATTTTTCTCTGCTCCCCTCCCTGCCTCTCTCCTCCCCTTCAACGCTCCCCCAAGATCCTCATGCTCCCATTTTACTCAGAAGATCTTGTCTTTTTCTACTACCCATGTAGATTAGATCTATGTATGTCTCTCTTAGGGTCCTCATTGTTGTCTAGGTTCTCTGGGATTATGATTTGTGCACTGGTTTTCTTTGTTTAAAAACCACTTATGAGTGAGTTCATATGATAATTGTCTTTCTGTGTCTGGGTTACCTCACTCAATATGATGTTTCCTAGCTCCATCCATTTTCCTGCAAAATTCAAGATGTCATTTTTCTCTGCTGTGTAGTACTCCATTGTGTAAATGTATCACATTTTCCTTATCCATTTTTCGGTCAAGGGGCATTTAAGCTGTTTCCAGGATCTAGCTATGACAAACAATGCTGCTATGAACATAGTTGAGCACATGTCCTTGTGGCACGATTGAGCATCCTTTGGATATATACCCAAAAATGGTATTACTGGGTCTTGAGAAAGGTTGTTTCCTAATTTTCTGTGAAATCACCACACTGACATCCAAAGGGGCTGTACCAGCTTGCATTCCCACCAGCAGTGCAGGAGTGTTCCCTTTACCCCACAACCTCTCCAGCCTAAGTTCTCATCAGTGTTTTTGATCTTGGCCATTCTTACAGGTGTAAGATAGAATCTCAGAGTTGTTTTGATTTGCATTTCTCTGATGACTAAGGATGTTGAACATTTCCTTAAGTGTCTTTCATCCATTTTAGATTCCTCTGTTGAGAGTTCTCTGTTTAGGTCTGTACTCCATTTTTTTATTGGATTATTTGTTCTTTTGATGACCAATTTCTTGAGCTCTTTGTATATTTTGGAGATCGGTCCTCTGTGTGATGTGGGTTAGTGAAGATCTTTTCCCATTCTGTAGGCTGTAGTTTTGTCTTGTTGACCATGTTCTTTGCTTTACAAAAGCTTTTGAGTTTCAGGAGGTCCCGTTTATTAACTGTTTCTCTCAGTGTCTGTGCTACTGGGGTTATATTTACAGTTTTTATTATGTTAAGATGTGTTCTCTCTAGTCCTACTCTCCCTAGGATTTTATCATGAAGCTGTGTTGAATTTTGCTGAAAGTTTATTCTGCAGCTACTGAGACGATTATGCAATTTTGGTCTTTAAGTCCATTTATGAAGTTTATTATATTTATTGACTTGCATATGTTGAACTACCCCCAAATCTCTAGGCTAAATCCAACTTGGTCATGCTGTACAATATTTTTGATGTATGTGTGTATTTGGTCTGCAAGAATTTTATTGGGTATTTTAAATTCTATGTTGTGTCTTTACTTGATTTGGATATTACAGTAATATTTCTTTCATAGAGCCAGTTTGAGAGTGCTCCGTTTCTAATTTTTAAAATAGTTTAAGAAAAATTGGATGTAAATTTTCTTTGAAAGTCTAATAGAATTCTTCTGTGAACCTATCCTGAACTTTTTCTTTTCTTTTTAAGCTGGAGGGCTTTGAATTACTGTCTCAATCTCCTCATTTGCTTTCAGTCTGTTTATATTGTCGACTTCTTCCTGGTTTAATTTTGGTGGATTGACTTAATCTAGAAATTTGTCCTTTT